ACCAGTCCAGTTATGCAGCAAGTTCTGGAGTCACCTGGAGCAATGTGGCCGCAAGATATCTGAAAAGTTAGAGAAACCAGGCATGAAGGGACCGCATCCTCAGTTGACCATGTTGTCCTACGGCTGTGGTAGATGCCATCAGCTCCAGGAGTTGTTGAACCTGTAGAAAAAAGGAGCTGAAGAAAAAAGGAGCATAAGAAAAGCAATTTCACAGACTTGTTGTTAGGGAAGAAAAACCCTGCTTCAAGAAAGCATCCCAAGCCTCATTAATATAATCTATACACTTTGTAGGTTGCAAAGTCGAATTCTCTATGTTGACCTACAGTCCTAATGCTGACAAAGCGAAGGTCAAAGAAAGGAAAAGAATTGTTTTTACTTGCGAAGTTCCAAATGAAGCTGCTGTGTCGGGGGTGGAGTTATATAGCACTAAGCGCTTAAAGCTGTGAAAGTTTCTGAAGATGCTCTGCTCAAGCACAGATTAACCCATTAGTGTGTATTCACAAAGGCCACGAAGGAGAACCATAGCTTCTACTGTGCGGACTTGTTGGCAAGGTGATGTCTCTACTTTTTAAGATGCTGTCGAGGTTTGTCATCGCTTTCCTCCAAAGAAACAGGTGTCTTTCAATTTCGTGGCTGGTGTCACCATCTGCAGTGATCATGGAGCCCAAGAAGGTAAAATCTGTCACTGCCTCCATATATTCCCGTTCTATTTACCAGGAGGTGATGGGACCAGTGGCCATGATTTTAGATTTTTTTTTAATGTTGAGCTTCAGACCATTTTTTGCACTTTCCTCTTCCACCCTCATTAAGAGGTTCTTTAATTCCTCCTCACTTTCTGCCGTCAGAGTGGTATCATCTGCATATCTGAGGATGTTGATATTTCTTCCGGCAATTCACATTCCGGTTTGGGATTCCTCCATTCCGGCCTTTCGCATCATGTATTCTGGATATAAGTTAAATAAAAAGGGGGGCAATGTTGCGGGGGGGCACATTATGGCTAGGAAGTCTCAGCGATAGGTAGCCTTCTGCTGAAGTACGGGAGCATTCAGAGCAGGTCTTCTGATGGCAAGTTCAGGGCTCAGGTAAGGATGCAGTTCTTCGGATAGCTTTGATGTGAAGTATGTGAAGATCTTATGATATAACAACTCCTGCTGATCCTGCAAGAACTGTTTTATGCAGATATACTGTATCTTTCTGTTATGATGGGTTATTTTTTAATCAATACTTCCCATTTTGCTCTCCCCTCCCCCCGTCCCTTTATATTAGACACCTGCATATGGAATCTCCTGGGTACTCATGTGGGAGGAACAAAGTCTGGTATGAGCGTTTGCAGTAGAAATGTTTGAACCATTAGACTAGCTTGCTGATCTCCTAACCCACTGATGTCCTGAGATACTACAGTTAATTAACCTGACTGACAGTGTTCAAAATGTATCTACTAGCTTGGGTTTTTTTTCTGTGTATCTAGTCAGTTCTCTTTAAAGCTTAAAAAATTCGCATTCTGCAGCAGGCAGATGTTCGTTCAGTTCTAAATTCTAGACTCTAAAGCAAATGGAAACTCTTCAGGGGGCTGCATATGTGACGGCAAAGTGCTGTGAAAAATTGAAGGATTTCTTTGTCCATCTGTTGTCCTGGCTTTTGGAAACAGGCAGTTGCCAAATGAAGGGCTCATTTCATAAGGAATGATTTAATTTTCTTCCTGTTTATTTAAAACCGAATGGAAAGAAAGTAGATTGCATTTTCTAGGGTCAGAGTTGAAAGGGGTCTTTAGGCATGCTTATGCATCCCCCACCCCAAAATAATTCTTTAATTCTGTGTTCTAAACCCAAATTGGGAATGTTAAAAGTTAGGGGAGTATAGTTTTTGGATTTTGCGAGGTGCCAGAGTGAAGAGTGGTTTTCAAAAGTGCAGAAATATGAACTGTTTTGTGTTAGCCACATTCAGTTACACAGAAGAGGAAAGTGGGAGTTTAATGCTTTGTCTGATCAGGTCACCCAGAAAATGTCACTTTACATGACTCAAGTGGAGTGTACACGGTGGAGTTTCTGGCTGCTGTCATGCAGATGCATTCCCAAATGTCAGCTGACAGAAATGTAACCTAGTACTTCAATGTCATACTGTGTACAGATATATTAGCAGTGCTGTGGTCATGCATAGAGAATCTAGAAATAGCTTTCCCTGACTGTGCAATTAGTACCAATGATGTAAACTATGCATTTTAAATACAGATATACTTGTTCTAGGTTTTGGTAGGTAAAGGGCCCTAAAGTATTCCTTCAAGGCTATCCATACAGCTTTAACACAGCATTAAAGAAGTCTGGATAGATGCGAAGGTCCCACAATAATTCCTTGACTGATGTGCCTACTACATTTTAAGTGCTTTCCAGGCAATCAACCCAACCTTGTCTCCAGAAGTCAGCAATTATCAGGCTTGTGACCTCCATTGTTGCCACCAGATCTCATTCAGAGAGACGAAGTGAGTTGCAGGCAGCTTGTATTGAATCAGTTATGATAAGAATTACTGTACCCTGTTTCCACCATGGTCGGTTGCATAATGAAGCCACCCTTATAGTGGGGGAAGTATAGTGATTGAAATCTTCTGTGCATTTTCTGAGGAGTAAATCATGTTGAGAATAATAAGACTTACTTTTGAGTAAGCATACGTAGGGTTGTGCTGCAGGAAGACCTGTTAGGGAGAATTATCTTGTGTTAGAAGGGTGACATTTCTTGGTAATAAGAAGGCAGTTGTCTGTATAATCTGCATACCATAAATGCTTTGAGGATCAATACACACCCATGGCATCTAGTGAGATCTATAACAATGCATGTTCTTTGTTGATCTGGTAACCTGTCAATTGTCTGAATAGCTTTGTTGTTGCCATTTATGTAGGACTTGGAAATGTAACTTCTGTGGACTATAGCTCCTACAATTGCTGTGTTGGCTACAGGGATTCTGGGAATTGTGGTCCAGAAAAACAACTTTCCCACTTATTCTTGCATCTTTTAAGTTTGGTTTCTTGGCTGTTGCTTCTAGCTGTGAGTTCCACCAGACTACTGACAATTCTCATGTAAAAGGAGGTTGATCCAAGAATCTCTCTCGGGTTTTTTTTTTAACATGCTTTGAAGCAAACTGATTTGGAGTAAGATGTAGTAAATTGTTCATTATTAAAATAATACGTGCCTCTGAAATGGGACAAAGTCTTTAATAACCTGACAGAGAGAGACTTATTTGGGCCTTCATCCTATTTGTGTACCTTTTTGCATGTCAGGTTCCTTGGTTGTAAAATGTGAAGCTTGTCTGCATATAATTCCTGCAGTTTTAGTCAATTAAAGAAAAATGAATATGTTTAAAGGGAATGGGTTAGCAGATGAATATTTGCTTGATATTTCTTTCCATTGCCACTGTATACTCCTCGGTACATTTGTACCTTTTGGGTGTTTAAGGCCAGTATGGAGGTAGTTGGGGTACAAAGCCAGGAATGGACAGTGGTATATAGGTGATAGATTTTAGACAATGATGTCTGTACTCCACTAAATTACAGTTTCTACTAATCGCCAGTGAATTATGTGTGATTCCTAGTATTATTAATTTGATTTATACCCTGTCTTTAAATCTAACAGTACAATGGTCAAAATCTTGTCACTTAGCATAGTAAATGGTAGTAAAGCTGGCCTGTTTAATCAAAGGGGATTTGATGAGTCATCTCCTCTGTAGGATCCATTGATTCAGATGGGCTTACTCTAACCATGACCTATTTTAGCACAATAAGTTGCTGTTAGGGGAGGCACAGACTATATGTTACAGATAGGATATAGTAACATATTCCTTACAAACTGAAATCATGTCAGTGTTCTGGTTATGTGATTCTTAGACTTTCATGTCTGTATAGTTATATTTGCAAAGATTCCTATGACTAATCACAAACCAAAGCAAGTTAATTTAAAACTACAGTAGATGTGAAAAGCTTTTCTTGTAACAATCACATATCTTTCAGCATTCAAAGAACCCCCTTCTAGCGATGCACCCTCTGTAATGATCAATTTGGCTCTGACTTTCATGGCACGGTGAGGACTATAACCACGGTCTCCCAAGTTTTATTACAGCAGTCCAGCCATAATACTGTTCCACCTCTCAATATCTGTCATAGCATGTTTGGTGAACATCCACAGCTTGAATTGGGGCAAATCTGTTGAGGTCAGTACGAGGAAAGACCAGCAGAAAGCAGGCCTTGAGCATCCTGGCAAACCTTTTTCATTATCGTGGTGTGTCCCATCATTGGCTTCCTCTGTTAGGCAGCTGAAATGGAAGAGAAATTCAGCATTGCTGATTAAAAATCGAAACGAAAAATTGAGCTGTTGATGCAGAGGAGCAATGGGAATCAAGTCTACATTTGGGCAGTACCTTTACTAAAACCAGCCAACATGTCATAGAAATGTGCAAGTTTTCCAGCACTTGTAATCCAACTAGCTGGTACCTATCCACCCCTCTGAAGTAAAAGGAAGGAAGGAAATAAAGCTTAATGTTTTGAATTCAGAGAGCTAAATTTTTGAGAGACTGAGCATTCCCTTTAATATGATTAAATGCACATTTAGCCAAGGGTGAAATCTCGTCTTTGTGGCCTCTCTGCTGAACCAGAAAACTACATGTGGCCTGAGCCTGCTAAGTCTTCCACTTGGGACCTGGAGAAAGCAGTAATGATGTAAATCTGTAGATCTCCAGGTTTACCCAGAGTTGCCTTCCCTCCCCACTGTACCGTGAACTGTCCAGGTGACTTGGCATGCAGGCCTCAGGAATTAATCTGTGTGACTTTTCAGAGAGCCAAGGGAATGATGTGGGCAACAAGGTGTTCTAATAAATGGACCATGGCAGCAGCAGTCATGTAGAGCAGTGCCTACCAGCCAGCTACTTCTCTTGTATATTAGAACCACAGGATATTTGGTGCCAAATGCATTTTAACATTTCTTACCTGTTTTCCTCCCCCCCCCCCTTCTATTCTTAGTGTCGGGCAGGTTGTCAACATCAAAGCAAAAGTGAACCGAGCATTTAACTCAAGCATGGAGGTTTGTATGCTTCAGCTCACCATCCTGAAGGAGTGTTTTAAAAACTCATATTACTGTTCTTGTTTCCGTTGTATCCCTATTTCATTGTCTTGGTACCAGATATGACCGGAATTTAGAAAGTTTCTCTTTTTTTCCTGGAGTCTGTTTCGTAGAATCCTCTTGCCAGCATGGCCACTGGCCATACTGAGAGGAGAATTCTGAGACACACACCCATCAAAAAAAGAAGATTGGTTTTTTTAAAGTTTGGGGTGTGAGCAGATGTTTGGGTACAACCTCAGTTCCAATGCTGCGTTCTCAGATTTATGGATGTAGAACCTCAGCAAGCAATTATTATTATTCACCCCTCCCTGAAAATTCTGCACTGCCTGCAGCACTCAAATTCTGTTCTTGGAATAAATGAAGCTCATTTGCATTTATTAAGCTAATTATAAATTTCTAGATTTGAAATGTTTTTGGCAAGGAACAGGGTTCAGACGCTTCAACAGAGAAGGACTAAGGGAAAGGCCTACAGGAGCAGTGTATGACACAGAAATAAATTTGTTATGCTAACCATTTGTATCAAGCCCTAGCTTGAGACAAGGAAAGAGATATTTCTCCATCTTCCTGGAAGAATAAATCTTAATGTTAACTTTCCAGATTTCCTACAGACCTTTCATGTGAGATGCTCAAGGCTGCTTAAAGATGGCAACATTCATGCAAAAGGAAACTCACGCCAGTCCAGAAGATGGGTGGGCTGTCTTTGTTCAGCTTCATGGTGTCTTATTTTTAAAAATTTGCTTCAATTTTCTGACAAAGATAGCATCCAAATAGTTTATATGATAAATAAAGCAATGATGATAAAAGCAATTAGCAAGCGAAATAATGCATGAAACAAAGGTTGTGTTAACAGCCAATACAAAAACAAAACAAAACAAAAAACAACACAGAGAATTAAAAGAAAACAAAACATGTATACCTGAAGTACAGCAGCTAATAAAATCAGGAATATTATCAACAATAATAAAAATGAAAACTGGTATCATGTTAATCATCACTGTGGACTTGAGTCAACGAGGCAGGGAAAGCCAGCTTGCCTGAGAGATAGCAAATATGGGGACAGGTGAGTGTCAATGGGAAGGAAGTTGTACCACTGTGATACTGCTACAGCATTGTGCTGCCTCTATAATTTCTGAAGGTGGGGATGCCTGAGAAGAGGCCTCAGAATGTTGACTCTCAGCTGTGAAGCCGGTTCTTACGAGATTTGGGGGCTGAAAGACTCTGCACAGGTGTAAATCCTCCATATCAAGTGATGGATTAATCTGGTTCTGCATCCATAAATCTGAGAACGCAGCATTGGAACCACACCTTATTATATGTTATGGCTAAGATAAAATGTTGTGTTGAATAATATAAGAAATATGAGCACAGTGGCTGCAATATGGTTGCTGAGCATAGTAACGCACATCTGGAATCAGTGGGGATTGGGTGAGTCAGCCCCTCTGTAAATTCCATTGATTCAAATGGGCCTACCCTAGTTGCAATTTACTATGCCAAGCCACAGGATTTCAGCTATGCCTGCAGGGAAAGCTAAAGACACCAAAAATCTGTCCAGAATGAAGGAAAGAAAAAACCAGAACATTTCTGACAAAAAGTGGAGTTGCTATACTTGTCACACATCACACAAAGCCAGGATCCTGCATGGGACTTGGCTTCTATCATCCACAATCATCAGGCTAGAATTCCAGATCTAAAACCAGTTGCTCGTGGAAGCCAAGGACCCCATTATGCAAGGCACAGAAAATGGATAGGCTTAGACGGCATTTATTCCTTCCCTGAACGGTTTGCTTTTCTGCAGTAGCCCGTGGAGCAAGAATATATCCAAGCCCAAGGCACCCTGATTCCCACTCTTTTTGTTTGCAACTTGGCTTGCTTTATTAGAGGAGGGAACAGTTTGATCTACAGGATGCCGGGTTTTTATTTTGCTGCCCCAGGGAACAAACTTTTTGTGATTCGTTTGCTTAGGAAAGCAGCGGTACATTGAATGCAATAATTGGACTGCCTGTTCTGCTTTAAATATTCAGAAGTGTGAATTGCCAAGCTATGGTGAAGAACTAGAACACACAGAGAGCTATTGTACAATGCAACGCCTTCAGGTGCCACAAAGTATTCTTTTGAGGAAGGGAAGGTATCTCAGTTCTTTCAGATTTTTCTTTTTCTTAATGGAGGTAGCTAAGATTTGTAAAGAAAAGAAAGGAAGCCCTTTCCTATTCAGTGCTTTCCTTTTCTCCTGTCTTCTGTGACCATTCTTTCTAGGTTGGTGTACAAGTCAGCCATGAAGATCTCTGCAATGGGGAACAGTGGAATGTGTGCAAGGCGTATGCAACTTTTGTTGCGCAAGGCAAGCCAACTGCTAAGGTAGGCATAGGTCGCAGAGAGTTACCTACTTGCAGTTTAAGCTTCCGGCATTAGGAACAAAAATAGCATTGTTACACATCCCTCCATCACCCACCCCACCTCTTTGATCATTTTGTTTGAGTAAGGTACAGAGGCTCCTGTTGATTGCTCTGACTATTGTATCATGGTCCTTAACAGCTATTTATAAAAATAACCTTTTCAGAGAATCCCTTTGTGTATTGGCATGATATATTTTTGCTGTAGCACTACCTATATTAAAGTAAACCATTTAACTCCTCCCTGACTTGTAAGCTGGTCTAGAGTTCGGCTGTGCATCAGTGGGAAAGAGTTATTTATTTAAATATGTAATGGTGCAAGCTAACATCAATGCACTTTGATGTGATTAGTGTTGTGGTATGCAAAACTTGTGGTGTTTGCACAGTGCTTGGGAAATACTCAGAAATTGCAGTTGCGTACATTCTTATATGGAAGGAAGCCACACTGAACGTGGTTGAACTAACTTTTGAGGAAACATACAGAGCCCTGGGGGAAAATATCAGAGTTTGTTCTAAACAAGAAGCATTGTGTTCCTAGAAGCCTTCCTGTGTAGGGATTCTCCTTCAAAGCAAAGCATGTCTCGCGTTTTTTTTAAAAAAATGCTTTCTCCCCTTTGTGTTTTTTTACGAATGGAAGTGAACGCTTGATTGCTTCCGGTACTTTAAAAAACAACAAAAACCCACTCACATCCATTTTGGAAGGGAATTTAATACTAGAGAAGACAAATTCACACCTAGACTTGCCAAAGTTGTCTAATAGTCCTGTAAATAATTATAGAATCATAGAAAAGTGAAGTTGGAAGGGGCCTACAAGGCCATCAAGTCCAACCCCCTGCTCAGTGCAGGAATACAATCAAAAGATATCTGCCAGGTGATTATCTTTCTTGAATGCCTCCAGTGTTGGAGCACTCACCAACTATAAACTAATAAAGTATAACTAATAAATTAGTGTACAAAGGGCCTCTCAAAATTCATCCTTTGTCTGGTTTGAGAACATGGGTCTTACACTCTTGACCAACCAAAGGATTCCCCAAACATTTTTGCCTTTGTTTTCAGTTATGCTCGGTGTGCTTCATGTCTATATGCTCTCCCCTGTCTGCAAGGTTCTCATGCAGTACATTTGATGTTCCATTCCGAGTGAAACATTACTTTGTGTGCTCTCTCTCAAGCCATCTCTCTCTGTGTTTTAATTCTTGCATGTAGATCAAGTTAAAGCCCCTGGTTCCTCAAACAGAAGAGGAGAAAATTGAATACAGTGTTGCTGCTGAACGCCGGCGTATGCGACTGGCCCACGCAGATACAATCAAAGGCCTTCTCTCTAAGAGCCCTGTGCAGTCTGGTAAAGTAACCTGCAGAGTACTTTCTGATGTATGGGTTGAAGGGCAGTGGTTTTCTTCTCTAGTACACTTGTGCAGTCAGTGTTGAAAACAGCAAGGTCTGTTCATGAGCACGCAATAGGAATAGGCAGTCACAGCATACTGGGAGAGGACTTGAGCCCTCTCTCTAGCTGTATGGTGTCCACCCCTAATCAAGGAGCATCCACCCTCAGTGTGGAATTAAATACTTCTATCTGGACAATGCATTTTCCCTTGGACATTCTTGCTATGCACGCATGATTTCATTGGCACTTTGCCAGGTGGCATCCGCTCAGGGCTGAGAAATGTGTACACAGGGCAAGCTGCAGGTACATCATCTGCAAAACACATTCTAGGCTATTATTTTGTATTTATTCCATGTATTTTTTCTGTTTTTCTCCACCAAAACATAGTGTGCAAGGTAGCTAATAATAAAAACACATGCAAACTGAAGAACTATAATTAAAATAGAAAAGCATTTCATTTTAAAAAGAAGAAGTATGAAGTCATCTTAAAGCCAAAGCACAAGAGGAAATAGAAACAGAGCTGGAGACAGACCTTGGCTTGCCTCCTCTGCAACAAAGGAGAAAAAGACTGGTGTGCTATCCTGTGGAGCAGACCCCTTGAGGAGCATGATGCAAAGCTGTGGTGAGCCGCTGTTTGCATCTGCTGAGGGCCACATTTCCTTCAGGCAGGAGTGGACTCCGCGCAGAGCACCAAGCGTGGTTGTACTGTGGTGCTCATCTACTATAGCCAACACAGTCAGCAACGAGGAGTGATGAGTGTTGCTGTCCAACCGAGTCTGAAGGGCCTGCAGGCCTGCCCTTTGCCCACCTCCTGCCCGAAAGGTGATCTTTCAGCATCCCTTCAATGCTGAGTAGTGCTAAAGTCAGTGATGTGTAAAGTCGAAGCGAACAGTAGATGTGTCCACCAATTCTCTCTCTCTCTCTCTCTCTCTCTCTCTCTCTGTCACTCCCTGTATTGGACTGTATTAAGGAGAGAAGATACCGCTTTTGCAGAGGATGGATTATCAGATTAGGTCAAGGACATGTGCCCCCTAAAGCTGTCGATTGTCCACCCCTGGTGTAGAGCAATGTTCATGGTTTGCTATACTCCAATTTGTGGTATCTGCCTACCTCCACTGTGTATTAATTCCATTAAAAATTGGATTAACACATCCCATTAAAAAAAACACCACAAATTGTGAAAGCATGTGGCTTCTTGGGGCACCATGCTCTGTTTGATAGGAACCCTTGCGTGTTTCCTCTACGGATAGGCTGCAGCAGTTCCTCCCCTCTGCTCTGCCTGATGTGGCTCCCAGCAAAGAATTAGGAGTGGTCTCAGCTGTTTCCTGGTAGCTCAGCCACAAGGAGATTGTTCTTTCTCTTATTTTTCTAACAGAGCTGGAGACCAGAACCTGCCACTCAGTGGTACCTGCGGAAGAGACCCGAGTGGAAAGCGTGGAGCTAATTCTGCCGCCACATGCAAACCATCAAGGGAACACGTTTGGAGGGCAAATCATGGCTTGGATGGAAAATGTGGCCACCATAGCAGCAAGGTTGTCATCTTCCTTTGTCTTTGGGATAAAAACTAGATGAGATGGTGACAGTTTGTTATTAAAAATGATTGGTACAACTTCTTCTTTGGGCGTGAGCAGTTCTCATCTATGGTCAGAGCTTGGAAAGGTTATCTTCTTTTTTTTTTTGGACTGCAGCTCCCGGAATCGATCAGCCGGCATGGCCCCTTTCCATGCTGGCAGGATGGTGGAGGAAGTTTTAGCATACCCCAAAGTATTTTTCCTCCAGCTCTGCCTATGTTTATAAATATTTGTTTGCCACTATGGTACTTGCTTTTCCCTTTCATTTTAGAACTCCTGTTTGATTGCATGTATATGACAATAGAGGCGAAATTTTGACTCCATCATTCAAGAAAACGGGAACACACTGCTTGTTCCTGGAAACCTACTTAATGTCTACGTGACATAGCTGCTCTAAAATTTAGGAACACAAATGTGTACAGATTTGTGTGTGAGCTTTTAAAACAAAGAACTATTCCCAATGTTTTCATGTTAACGTATGCCCTCTTTTTTATGAAATTGTAGCTATAAACATGTGGGCTTTCTCATTATAAAGCAAAAACTGGCAGCTAAGTTTGCTAATTCTGTGGACTTTTACTTTTTTCCCCGGCATGGAGAAAACAGGAGACTTCTCTCCTAGCTGGCTGCATCCCAGCACAATGAGGATAAAGCCAAGTGTGCTGCTTATATACTGTCCTATAGCGCTTAAAGTACTCTCTGAGCAGTTTTCCATTTAATTATGGAGGCTACACATTGCCCATCCCCCCAGCAAACTGGATACATTTTGTGTGTATCCAGGAAACAGTGTGTTTCATCCTGTTCTTTTTGATGCTTTCCTTCCATCTCAGGTACAAGCAATTATACCGGGATAAACTTGCTTAAACTCCATTAAACATTGGTGCAGATAATAGAAGGTGGCATGATGGAGCCATATATGAATGACCCATGCCAATCTGCTGCTAGTTGCTGACTTGCTGCCAAGCCGTTCAGCACTTGCAAGTTCAAACAAAGGTCCTCTGATTGGGAGCTTGAGATATAGGCAGCCTCCTCCACATAGATCTTCTTTGTTGTCCCAAACACAGGAAAACTTTGAGGACTGCTTCACATGGCTACGTTTTATGCATGTTCTGTTTCCACAGCAATGTCTTTCGGCAGTGGGTTTGTTCAAGGCGCATGTAAAGTGCTTCTCTGCAGCATGATGCGCTCATTTTTATGGTGTCTTCCTAAAATGGCATGTGGCTGGAAGTGGAAGTGCCCAGTTATTTTTTCTGCAACTTCTTGTTTCAGTGAGAAACAAATGCAGCATTTCCTGGAGCTGTTTACAGGTATCATATAACTCTCCTGTTGCAACAGCTCCACTGGCTACTGGTCCATTTCTGGGTACAATTCAAAGTGTGGGTTTTGACCTATAAAGCCATAAACAGTTTGAGCCAAACTATCAAAAAGACAAAAGGGACGTGGTGGCGCTGCGGGCTAAACCGCAGAAGCCTGTGCTGCAGGGTCAGAAGACCAAGCAGTCGTAAGATCGAATCCACGCGACGGAGTGAGCGCCCGTCGCTTGTCCCAGCTCCCGCCAACCTAGCGGTTTGAAAGCATGCAAATGCAAGTAGATAAATAGGGACCACCTCGGTGGGAAGGTAACAGTGTGCCGTGTCTAAGTCGAACTGGCCGTGTGATCACGGAAGATTGTCTTTGGACAAACGATGGCTCTACGGCTTGGAAACGGGGATGAGCACCGCCCCCTAGAGTTGAACATGACTGGACAAAAATTGTCAAGGGGAACCTTTACCTTTACCTTTTTCTCTAAAAGACACATCTTCCTTTATGAGCCTGTCTAGGTTTTAAAAGGATCAGGGGAGGCCTTTCTCTCCATTCCACCATCTTTACAGCTGCATTTGGAAAGGACACAAGTTGCTGCTCCCAAACTATAGGGCTCCCTCCCATGGGAGGTCAGTCTGGCCTTCTCTTTGCTTCACTTCCACAGGCAGGCAAAAACATTTCTCTCCAGGCTGGCCTTTTCTCAGTAACTGGTTGCCTGGGGGGGGGGGCTCTTGTTTTGTTTGGTCTTTTTCCTGTTCCAGTTTTTATACTGTTTGTTTTAATATTGTAAGTTGTCTTGGTTCTTCTTGAGGAGAAAGCTGGGGTAGAAATATTTTAAATAAATAGTCTACTAGGCTCCTTACCTCTTCCCTTGATGCTTTGCCCTTGGTTTTTCTTGTCCTTCTGAAGCTGGACTTTCCCCATCTCTTCTTCCCTCCCCCCCCCCATTATAGGCAGTTAGATTAAGAGGTGCTCTGATGTTTTGATCTTCACATCTTATTTTGCTATTGTAAAAGCACATGAATGCTCCTTTTAATGGTTGTCCTGCAAGACAGAGATCTCTTGTTGGAACCTTTTCTGATGGGATGGGAAGAAGTGGTTCTCTCAAGGGGACTTGGCCTGCCTACTGCCAAAAGCTTCATTCTGTGTACTGTCATTTTTGTGTGGAAAAGTAGCACTCTTGTCTCCTGTGGCTGCTGTAGAAATATGGCTCCCTCGTATACGTCATTCTCTCTGAAAGCTTGATGCATATACTTCTTGCCTTGTCCCTAAAAATAAGCTTAAACCACAGACTTTCATCTGCATGGGGCAGTTTTGTTTTACCATTGACAACCTCCTCTCGAAGCAATATTATCCAAAGCTTTGGACAGTGGCAAAGGTGGTCTTTCACTTTGGCTGGGAGGCAAGTTAGTTGCTTCCCTATAGGTGGCACTGTGTCTTCATGAATGCTGGGGAGTCAGGAAGCAGAAGGTAAGTTAAATATGCAATTCACAGGCTGCCCAAGTCTCCTCACAGGTGGGAACTCCCACTTCTCTCTTGGGCTGATGGAAACTTGCTCTGGAGCAACAGGCATGAGGAAATCTAGCTTGGTTTAATAATCCCAGTCTGGACCCAGCTATGTAACCCTGTACATAGGTTGTTTTGTGAATGGTGAGCCAATTGTGTTTGCAAGATTATAATCTGTGATGAAGGATCGTTTCAAATAAGGCCCTTCTTTGTGCAACATCATTGCCTCATTTTTGGGGGATCAAATTGTAGCTCTCCTGTGCTTTCCCACCAGTTGTTCCTTTTTCTTCTCAGAGAAAAATGTGTTAAGGAAGGAATGACAGGTTAGCTGTGCAATACCTTTTACGCGTTAGTCTGGGGATGTCATTTTTTTGGACTATGACACCCAGAATCTCCCAGCCAGCATAGGAACAGTTCCTGCTGCTTGGGGGATTTGGGGAGTTGTGATCTAAAAATGTAACATGTCCCACCTTTGCTAGAAATCCTTGTTCAGAACAAATCCTTGTTCAAAAGATGGTATTTGGATACCATCTATGGATATAAATGTATTACATGGATTATTTAGTTCTCAGAGCATACGCTCAATTCTGTCTCTCTTGTCTTCCCCTAGCCGATTGTGCCATTCTCACCCTACCCTGAAGACAATTGAAATGTTCCATTTCAGAGGGCCATCTCAAGTCGGGGATCGCCTCGTCTTCAAGGCCATTGTCAACAATGCATTCAAGTACAGGTGTGTCATTTTCATCTCCTATAACAGCCTTCCCGAAATTAATTCTGTGCAGATGTTTTTCGCCAGTAGCATCCATTGGACTTAAGCAGGGAGGTCAATAGCAAGAAACACAGGAATTTGTAGCTTTAGACCTCTGGAGGGCACCAGGCAGGTTGGGAAAGAATGGTCTAGGCTTTGATAAGTATGGTTCAGAAGCTAGTGGAAACCTTGCTAAATTTTTTAAAATTAAGCCATTCATGGTTCAATGAGCCGAAAGCAGTGTCATTTAAGAGATGGTTGAAAACCAAAGTAATTGGAAAAAACGGAAATGTTGGAAGGTTTTAGTGAACAATAATGTTCACTAGAAATTGCCACAGCTATGGATATCATTAGAATGAGTCAAAAAATAGATCTCAGGCATGTACACATGTTATGTGTCATCAAGTCACATCCAACTTACTGTGGCCCTACTAGGTTTGTCAAGGTAAATAATGCATTTAAAGAGGGGTCTTACCAGTTCCACCCTGCTACCCCATAGTAAGTTTCCATGACGAAACTGGGATTTGAATGCTGGTCTCCTCAGCCCTAGTCTATCCTTCTGCCCATTACACCAATGGGATAGCCTGTGTTCTTTCAAAAAAAGAGAAATCCAGATAGAATTCGTTCTGTAAGGAACAAGAGTGAACAAGAAGGCCCTGGTCGATCAGAGAGCATTCCTGTCTGCTTACGTTTCCACCTACATAAGAGTTCAGGTGTGGCTAAAACTAGCTCTTGTTCCTCCTTACAGCATGGAGGTTGGGGTATGTGTGGAGGCCTATCGCCACGAGATGGAAGTCAGCCGGAGACACATCAACAGTGCCTTCATGACCTTTGTGGCTTTGGACGAAGAGGGTCAGCCACGCACACTTCCAGTGTTGAAACCAGAACCAGGGGTATGAAACGTCTGTGTTTTTGAAAAGCAGCAAGGCGCGGTGTCCTGAATTGTTTTGATTTTTCAGAAAGAAAGACAACTTTCTTGTCACTGTTAAGTTTCATAATATGTTTCCCCCCCCCCCATGGACTAATTATAGCCTGTATTTCTGATCCAAAAAACAAACACTCAGGGCCAAATCCAGCTCTGGGTCCCATCTAGAAAAGACCCACTGAAGCAGTGGATCCAAGACATAGGTGCAGATGCAGTCGGGGAGTGATTTACAGGGCCAAATCCAGCTCTGGGTCCCAGCTAGAAAAGACCCACTGATGCAGTGGATCCAAGACGTAGGTGCAGATGCAGTCGGGGAGTGATTTAGTGGTCTTGTTTTGGACCACTTGGGGCAAGATCCATTTCAGACTATTTGTGAACCAGCCTAAGCCTGTTCTATCCCCATTCAGCCCTTTTTGTTTCAGTGGCAGAGCTCCTCCTCTCTCTTTTCGGAGCTGGACTGGAGGGAGCCACTGGGACCAGATCATGTCTGCATGGAAGGGTTGCTTTAAATGAGATCCATACCCAGCAGAGCAGCTTTTATTTTCAGCCTGCTTCAACTCTTTTGAGTTATCTGGCCAGTTTTATTTTGCTTCAGTCCACTTCGTGTTATATTTCATAGCTCTTTGAAACATAACCCATTCTTTTTATCTCTTGTAACCAGGATGGAGAAAGGCGGTTTAAAGAAGCTAGCGCTAGGCAAAAGATTAGACTTGATAGGTAAGTGGGGAAAAAATTATTATTACTGTACCTGGTTGGCTTCCTCACCCTGTTTTTTTCCCTTTCTGCAGGCTTCCACTCCTGTGAAAGTTCAGAGGAATGCAGAGTGGTAGCCATATGTGATTTGCTTTCAGTATGGCAAAAATTCTGGGACAGAATTATATTTCTGTATAGGAGAGAGAAATGATCAAATATGGGTGTAATATTTCCCTCTGTTGTCTGTGTGTTGCTAGGTGGAGAGTGACTGTTTTGCATGAATCTTGGCTCTTCCCCCTCCCCCCACCCGGCTCAGGAAAAGGGCTGAAAACAGCAGAGGTAGCTGTTAGTGAGGGTCTGCTGAGCAACTGATCAGAACAAAACCCAGCCACACAAGTATGACTCATCTCTGTACGATTGCAACTACACTAGCAAGATGAACTGGAGCAATTCACCTTTGCTGCAGCTTGATTTGCAGAATCATTTTATGGTTCTGTTCAGTAGAAGCATAAAATAGTGGATTGTTTCGGTGCCAGAGTCCACATTGGCTTCTCAGTCTGATGTGGTTTGATCCGAACCACAACCCACAGCCCCCCCCCCACTTTCTTCAATCCCACTCTCAGCTGATCCCTGGGCCTCCTTTTATGGTTCATTGTGAGGACTGTGGGCTGTTCAAAGTGTTTCATGGCACAAGGGGAAAGTACCAGTGTTCCAAAGTTCTCATAAAGTATAAACCCATCTTTTGGAAACGTATTACTTTGCTGTAGCTTGTTTTTGTTTTTTCTGTGCAGAGGTGATCTGTTGCTAAACTAGTATATCAATATAGTGATACAGTGCTCTAGTGCGAAACTTGGTGGTTTTGTTTTTTAAAAAATTGAAAAATACTTTAGGATGACTAGAGGAAAAGATCATGGGGGTAGGAGTTCCTGCTGTCCAAAACATCACACTCGGTTTAGTACATCACCAGAACACCACCCACAATCACACCCCTGTCGTTTTGGAGAAACAACTTGTTTGTGGAGAGAAAAGTCCATTTGAATTGTTTTGGCTTGAAAAAAGTCAAAGTGCCCAGCAAGAGAGAAAGAGAAAAAAAATCTGTATCAGAAGCAAAAAGAGTCACTTATTTTAGTGCCTTTGCATCATGTGATCATTAAAAAAACTGTGAATTCTTCAGTTTTATACCTGCAGGAAATCCTGCAGTATTTTGGCCATGTAGCCGCCACAGCCTAAGTCCCAAACCTCCTTGTCTTATGGGGAGGGATTTTCAGGTTCTTGATGGCATGCTTTGGCATCCACCAAGGTCGGGCTGATGGATATTCACTCTGTGCAAGCTTGTCTGATGTGCCCTTGGCATCCAGGTTGCTGCCTCCTCTGCTCCTCTTGGTTCGTACATTGAAGCTAACAAGGCTAGGGTCAACACAGGGAACTTCAGTATGAAATTGGCTGAGGGAAACTTAACCAAATCCAGAATTATTCTGAGAATTAAACTTCTGAATGTTTGGCCACTCCTCAAACTGGATATGGGGCAGATATGTTAAACAGGGATATATCTCAGATATATTGAAGCAAGCTATAGTTATTTATCACCCCATTCCTAAGGAGCTTAGGGTGCGATCAGATAGGGAAGTAGCTCATGTTTGGGGGCCCTTGTGGCACGGTTCACCGTGAGCTCTTTTCTGTCAATCAGACAACATGCAGGAGATTGTGAACCGGTCAGACCTTCGCTCCGTGCCCAAGCCGGATCTTTTTCATTCAGTGTCAGGGCTACTCTCTTTTTTTGGATCTGGGCTGGAGCAATTCCTGTACACACAGAAAGATTGCTTTAAGAGTGATCATTCTCAGTAAAGAAACCTTTCCAGTGAGATTAGACACAATCCTCTCTTACTGTCTGGCTGCACCCTTATTTGGCACAGCATGGGTAAGGTTCTTGCCTCCCCCAGCTTCTCGTCAGCAAGTACTTTCCACATAATCAGAAGTACAATTTCATGTACTTTGTGCATTCTTAGAAGTATAATTTCTTTTACTGTTAGTTTACTTTATTGTGAACAGTTTGATGTAGTGGATAGAGTTACAAACTAGGACTCAGAAGTCCTGGGTTCAAATCTTCCTTCAGTCATGGAAGCTCACTGGAAGTGTGGTACTGGTAAAAAACCACTCTTTAAATATCTCGCTTACCTTGAAAGCCCTGTTAGGGTACCTATAAATCACTTCTGATTTGGTTGCTCATAAAAACAATGACTACAACCCTTCTAATGCTCAATCTCAGCACTTCAAAAAGGACAACAGTTGACCCTTTTGAATAGGAGAGGGTAGCGGTGTAGCCAGGGTAGCCAGCTGACTAATAATTGTGTGCTATCAAGATATCAAGAGAATGCACACGAGTAGTTTACCGTTCCCTTCATGCCTGCATACATTTCCAAAATGGAGAGAGAAAAATAAATTTGCTCTTATTAAAAGGAAGAAGAATTTCAGGAAGACTTTTAGGAAGCCATTTTCTGTAGCAACTACAAAATTCGATATGTGCCATAGCACCAAGTAGCTAGATACTATATGCCCAATGGTATTCTAATACCCAAACTTATTGGAAAGAGAGGGAAACAAGGGAGCATAAAAGAAAAGTTTTCATGGAGGAAGAGGAAAGCAATCAGGAAAGACAGTGTTAAGATGAAACTTGTTTTCTCTCCCTTGTTCCTGCAGTCTGTTTCTTTGTTTTTCCAGCAAATCCATTTATAAAACAGCCCTTCTTCAATTCTGGGCTTCATTTGGTCTCCAGCTCTGCCTTGCGGTGACATCAGAGCCCCCTTCAGTTTGCCTCCTGTTATGTCACTAAAACCTCATCGTGTATTTATAGCCTTGTTGTTTGGTTGTCTCTAATTCATAATTTATTACAGAACACAGACGGAGACCGCATGCATTATCCTTAAGGCCACAGTTCTCGGGGCAGTAATGCCAGATCAATGCATTCTCTTGAGAGTAGTGAGAGAAGGCAGGCTAGAGAAGGAATGAAGATCAGCAAACACTGTGGGAGCCCTGCAAATTCAAGGCTACAGTAAACAGCATGTGTTCTGACACAGGGGCTCCCAGCATCTTCTCACAGAGAAGCCCCTCTTCTTGAACATATGTATTTCTTGCATATCCATTTCCTCCTGTTGCTGCCAAGGCCTCTGCTTGTATACCTCAACCACAGGGTCCGGTTGCAGTGATGCAGCAGGCAGAGTGGTAAAGTGGCCTTTACGGCACCTCGCTAGGCTTTCTGTTTGTACAGGGTGCTTAGAATGAAATGCAATTCTGTTGTGGGGCAGAGAGCTTGGAAGAATGGCCTTTTAGACTTTGATTCCCAGAATCCACCAGCAAACAGAGCCCTTAGGGGATTCTGGCAGTTGTAGTAGGAAACCCTCACATTTTTTGAAGCTGAGCTTGAATACGAGACATTTTGGAGGCTGTGTCACAAAATAACTAAGGGAATAAATAGATTGGTGGATACGTCCCTGTTTCTTTCTGCCTGTCTCCTTTCTCTTTCTGGTCCAGCTTTACTCATTCCAAGTTATTGTGGTTGTAGTTGTTGTATGTCTACACTGAAGGAGGCACCTGGATGTTTTTTTAAAAAATCCTAAGCTAGTGCTTCCTCTGTAGTCTTATACAGAAAATTAGAAATATGCAAACTAGGGGGTGAGTCCATATGACCCTCTGCTTGTTTTGGGGCTGCAACTCTTATTATCCCTGAGCACACGGGTAAGGGATAACTTATAAGACGGATGGAAGTTACAGTTCACAGTATCTGGAGGGCCAGACACTCCCCATCCTTGATACAAAGCTTCCTATATGTGCATCCTCACAAATTGCTCATCTCAAGGATATGTCAAACTGAAATCCTGATACTTAATGTAAGAAAATTTGTAACTTTTCAGTACGTTGCTAGATGGCGAATAAAAAGCACCAGGAACCACGCACACATATGGGCTGTGTGCACCTGAGAATCATAGCAGGGACAAAAGGCCGAGGTTGAAATAATAACAGAAGAATGTGGATTCCATCTTCTTTTTTTAACCTAAATCAACACATTAAAAACTGATGGAGCTCATGGTATTAGGATGGAGTCTGGGGACTGCAGACCTGGGAGTTGCTGGCACTTTTCTACTGATTACTTATGATTCAACAGATTAACACAGGGAACTCTCCTACAACCTTATCTTTGTCCTGAATTAGGAGGTGAATACATTGACAAATAATGTGGGAAAAGCTCTGGAACTGGGATGGTCTGATTTGCACTATTTTCCATTAACTACACGACATAAACATTGATGTAAATGAGCCCAGCACCCTCCTCCATCTGTGCTATTTTTGTCAGCTGTTGGGGCTTCTACTGTTTTTCAATGAATGAATTTGCATTGGTTCAGACAGGGTAATTGCTTGAGCTGATGCAGCTTCAAGGCTGAATGGGCAACTAGAAGCTGGCTCTCCCAGCTTCCTTGTTCAAGGTGAGAAGAGAAGAAGCAAAGAGGCATTCACGGGGTGTCAGTTCCCCTCAACCAAGCATCCCTTGTCTTCAAAGCCATTTTTAAAGGGGCTTGATGCAGGTGGTGGTACGCTAGGGCACCTGGAGATCAAAGAGAAAAAGTGGACAGGGAGTTAGTAGAGAGCAAGGAGGAAATGGTTAATCAGCAGTTTCTTAAGGTAGCTCTGACGTGTCCATTTCTCCTGCAATCTGGAAAGCTACAGCAGAGGTACCTTAACAAGCTGCAATTAAGATGCATTGCTGATGGCCTCATCTCTCTCTGCTGACCCGTGTGCAGAGTCAGCTAAAGCAAATTCACCAGGGGAAACCTGACTTCCAAGGTGCAACTTCACAGCAGATCAGTTCACATTTTTCCTGCTATGTAGTTGCTCCCTTAAAAGAAGTCATTGTTGTTTAGTCGTTTAGTCGTCTCCAACTCTTCGTGACCCCATGGACCAGAGCATGCCAGGCCTTCGTGTCTTCCACTGCCTCCCGGAGTTGTGTCAAATTCATATTGGTTGCTTCGATGACACTGTCCAACCATCTCATCCTCTGTCGTCCCCTTTTCCTCTTGACTTCACACTTTCCCAACATCAAGGTCTTTTCCAAGGAGTCTTCTCATGAGATGGCCAAAGTACTGGAGCCTCAGCTTCAGGATCTGTCCTTCTAGTCAGCACTCAGGTTTGATTTCCGTCAGAATGGATAAGTTTGTTCTCCTTGCAGTCCAGGAGACTCTCAAGATCCTCCTCCAGCACCACAGTTCAAAGGCATCAATTCTTCGGCAGTCTGCTTTCTTTATGGTCCAGCTCTCACTTCCATACATCACTACAGGAAAAACCATAGCTTTCACTATTCGGATTTTTGTTGGCAAGGTGATGTCTCTGCTTTTTAAGATGCTGTCAAGGTTTGTCATCACTTTCTTCCCATGAACCAGGCGTCTTTTAATTTCGTGGCTGCTGCCATGATCTGCAGTGATCATGGAGCCCAAGAAAGTAAAATCTGTCACTGCCCCCATATCTTCCCCCTCTATTTGCCAGGGGTTGATGGGGCCAGTGGCCATGATCTTAGTTTTTTTGATGTTGAGCTTCAGACCATTTTTTGCACTCTCCTTTTTCACCCTCATTAAGAGGTTCTTCAATTCGTCTTCACTTTCTGCCCTCAGAGTGGTATCATCTGCATATCGGAGGTTGTTGATATTTCTTCCGGCAATCTTAATTCTGTCTTGGGATTCATCCAGTCCGGCCTTTCACATGATGTATTCTGCATATAAATAAGCAGAGAGACAATATACAGCCTTGTCATGTTTCTTTCCCAATTTTGAACCAATCTGTTGTTCCATATCCATTTCTAACTGTTGCTTCCTGTTCCGTGTATAAATTGTTTTGTCTTCTTTTGTTTAAGGATCCAAGGTGCAAAAGAAGTTCTAGAAACAAAATGTTATAAGGCCCTACAAGGTGGTAAGGCATTCCCATTTCTTTAAGAACTTGCCATAGTTTGTTGTGATCCACACAGTCAAAGGCTTTGACTGCTACTTGAATTACTGCTTACCAAAGAGTACTGTGGGCAGGCTTCATGATGAATCTGGGCACAACACTCTTTCATGTACCGTGGGAAGGGGAAACCTCCTTGAAATAATATTCAGAAATGGTATAGAATTTTTTGACATGAATTGAGGGAAGATTCCTGTTTCTTCTTATCTGAGTGTGTGGTTCGTCAGTTGTTAACAATATAAAGAGATTTAGAAAGTATTCGAGATACTGTTTTTCATTTTATAAAATGCACAAAATTAATTTATAATACTTTACAGTGTTAGAACTGAACAAAAGCTGTAAAAGGAGACTGAAAAGCAAGAGAAGTATCTGTCTTACCCAGAGAACCAAAGTTTTCAGAAGGAGAAAATATGTGTGCTGCGGTACAATTGGTTACATTGCACAGGTAGCTCTGGCCAATGCATCTTTGTCATGTGGGTCTAGAGATCTAACTAGCATAGCTGTTACTGGGGTACCAACTCACTCCTGATGAGCAGTCATAGATTCAGCCTAGTCCATACCCACAGTGTAGGAACACTGCCCAGTGCCACCCTTGCCACCACAGGCCCTGTATATATTCTTTTATACCTTTTTAACCTTACGTTTAGTTTGTTTTGATTGAGGGTACTGTTAGTATTCCTATGAAGGACCTCCAGATAACAATAAGGGAGGGATATTTCACATTTTTCAACAACTACTATGGATCCTTTCCAACTCTTTACTGCCTGACTGTTTTCCTTCATAATAGATTCCAGATGTGTTTGCTGCCCACATCTTTGACCCCATTGAGGAAAACAGAATCCTTGGGGAGGAGGAGATTGTGGGCACAGAAGGGTTTAGCACCTTCCACTATCACTACTTTAATTAAGAATGGAAAAGAATTAAGTTTAATGCGTTCCAATGGCTTTTTTTGATCCGTACAGCGATGTTTTCACACAGCGAGGGTTAATCCGGAACGGATTAACCTCACTGTGCGAGGCACCACTGTATTTCTTTGCATTGTTCATTTAAGAAGGCCCTCTTGTCTCTTCTTGCTATTCTCTGGAAGTCTGCATGCAATTTTCTGTAGCTTTCCCTATCTCCCTTGCATTTTGTTTCCCTTCTTTTCTCTATTTGTAAGGCCTTGTTGGACAGCCACTAGAGATAATTCATGGATCAGGACTTTCAATTATATCTACAGGTACGGATTCAGATATCCCAAGTACAATAATTCTCATTACTGATTCAATATACAAATCCTCCCTGTGGGTTTCCCCTTGAGTTGTGATAGAGATAATTCATGCATCAGGACTTTCAATTACCGTATATTTACAGGTATGGATTCAGATATCCCAAGTACAATAATTTTCATTACTGATTCAATATACAAATTCTCCCTGTGGGTTTCCCCTTGAGTTGTGATGGCCTTATTGAAATGCTGGAGGTAGAGTTTTAAAAAGTTACTTTTTAAGACTGCAGTACCCAGAACACTCTAGTGATAGGGCCACTGGAAGGGTGACTGGGGAATTCTAGGCGCTGTGATTTTCTAAAAACAACAACTCTGCTTGAGAATCCAAGAGTAATACATGAGTTTCTTCTGTTACAGAGCAGAAGGGAAGGGGGAACTGTTTAACCATTTTGGACACCCTTGATTCTTCTCTTAGTTTCCTTGTCGGGCATGCCTCTGTGAACTTTGCCCTGTCTGGTCTCTCATTAAGGTTCCCTGTTTGAAACCTTCTTAGTATTTTAGTTTTCTAGAGAGAGACCTTTCAGTAGTTGATACTGTGGACCTCTTCACCATGGGTTTCACGCTGAAGGTCATAGATAGCAGTTATCAGTCAAATCTCTCTATCTTCACGTTTTCTTATCTTATGCCCCAAGAATGAGATTATAAAGGAGTGATAAAGTTGAGCAAAGAACAAGAGCATCTTGTGACTCTGACTGTCTGTGTAACTTTGTGACAATTTACTCCAAGGTTAGAACAGGTTCCAGAAGTGCAGTACATACCACTAGACTGAGACAAATCACCTGCTTGCTTCTCCTTTGGGCCCCAAACAAAAGCTCAATACAAACCGCAAAACCTTTTGAAAAGGGGGTCTTAGTTAATCAGGGAAGCTGGTAGAATTAACTCAGCTGCTTTGGAGTGGACCTGAACTGCAGTTACCCTTGTTTTTCCCTTGGTGTGCTGCTTTATTACACATACAGAAAACCAGAGTGGATAGGATGCATTTTGCTAGGATGCTTGTAGTAAAAACCTCAGCCATAACCACACCTTGATTCAAACATATTACACCTCATGCTAGAGAGGAAAGGTTGTGGTATATCCTGCTGGCATCTTAGGTTCTAACTACTCTGCAGTTACCCAAGGTTGTATCTACGAACTGCTATTTGTTTTCAGCTGTGGAATACTTGTAGCCCAGTCTGTTCAGGCCATAAGTAAGTTTATTTTGGACACCTACCAATTTTTGCTTCATTTTTTCCCAACATGGTTGAGAAAAATCAGAAAAAAGGACCAAACAGGACGCCGTCCCACCCCATCCATGTCTTATTAGTGTACCTCAGTGTCCAAGCCCATAACCACACAATTATGTGTTTTCTGGTTGCAGAAACCTTCTAAAGTTAAATATAACTGGTGAAGTGTTGGTCATCTATTCCTTAGGTTGGCTATGTGATCTACTTTTTTCTGATGGATTTCTCTTGTAAGGTCTCTTTTTCAAACTAGAGTAGTTTTAATTCTACATAAAGATAAAAAACTTGAAGCTACTGTCTTCTGTAACCAAGCTAGCTCCAACGGCTTAATTAAACTGGCTTTATAAACCATATTCAGGCATTCTGCCTGACAGAATGTGGGGATACAGGAAAGCCCTGGCTTCCATGTTGCTACCCCACCTGGAAGTCCTGAAGACCTTTGCATGGAGGTCTGGATAAGCTTTGTAAGTATGTTCAACGAACTGCTTCTACAACACCTCTGCAGATCATGCTGAACACATGAAGTTCTGGAGGAGTTCTGAGTAGCATGAAGATGTGGAGTACAGGATAAATGAGGGCAGCCCTATATCCTCCACAATTTGAACCATTCATACTTTCAGGGCAATTGCCTGAATACGCCTGTAGTCAAAGCAATCTGATCTGGTTGAATGGCTCTCCATTATTGTACCTTGCATGTGGAACCTAAACCATGGGGATTTCTCAATTTGTATATAACACGTGGTGTTCGCCATGTAGCCGAGCCTCATGTCCCTGTCTATCAATCTGAATACTATTGTGGTTTTGTTGTTGCTGCTGTTTGCATACAAAACAAATCCTCTCACGTGGCTACATCTAAAGAGGCACTGAAAACAAGAGACTATATTTCTTTTTGTTTCCAAGGAAGGTCATTTTCAAAACATATCTGTTGTTTCTTTTTAAGCACATATTTAAGTATTTTTAATTACTTTTTGTTGACAGTGGACATTACAATGAATTCTTCTGTTATCTGCAGAAAATATGTAATTTCCTGTAAGCACACAGAAGTACCTTTGTCGGTGCCGTGGGATGAAAGTAACAAGGTAAAGTCAACGTTGAACTCCATGCATGGTGCTGACTTCTGCAGCAATGGCTTTAGATTTCAGGGCCCTGTTCATGCCCAGGAGAATCTCCTGCCAAATATCTGCCCCTCTTCCCCAGTTTTTACAACATGGAAGAGGCACATAGCTGCCTATAGATGAATGAGATTCCACCACCATAAAACAGGTGAAGAATCATGCAGTCTATCCCTTGCCATTTTTGGTGTCTCCTAGAACTTTTAAAGGTAAAAAAAATGTATTCTTACATTTTGTTGGCAGTAGGTTTCCACTTGTGTTTGGTTTTTCCCCTCAGGTGGAGGGGTGGGGGGAAAGGATATTCACCCAAGGATCCTGGGGTGAACCGAGCCTACCATGTTGTTTTCTCATACCTCAGAAGTCTAGATTGAGAGTCTTTTTATGGAAGGGAACTAGAAACGCTGCCTAAGAGCAGAGATAAAGTTAGGATATAATGTTTGCTAGAGCTTTGGAAATGGTACTTTTAGAATCCAAGCTAGCTTCAAGGTAGCAGCGCCATGAGATGAACAGTGTAAGAGAATCTCCAGGTGGTAGGTGGAACCTTTATAGTGTGGTGTGGGAGAAAGCAGCAGAAACCGAAAGCGGAAGTCATTTATAGGCTAATCCCTGTGGCCATACGATGGTTCCCACTGATTCCCAGGACTTGCCATTGTGTAACATCTCAAGAAATTTGATGGAAACTTATGAATCTCCTAGACATTTTCAGGAATTCAGAACTGCAGAGTCTTTGAGTCCCCAGTTATTCCACAGAACTCAATGCCGTAAAGGACATGGTACATAACATAATTTAAAATGACAATTATGCTCTCACTGATGTCATTTATTTCAAGAGTACCGAATATCTACAGTACTAGGTGCTCTGATAAAAGTTCACAGCAGTCCTTGCCTACAGGCATATAATTTAATGATGATGAAGTTAAGAGCTGGTAAGAGACTTAGTGAGGTGTAGTGGATAGAGTGACAGACTGGGGTCCAGGAGACCCGAGTTCAAGTCTCTGCTCAACCATAAAAACTCACTGGGAATGGTAAAGGTAAAGGTTCCCCTTGACATTGAGTCAGTCGTGTCTGACTCTAGGGGGCGGTGCTCATCCCCGTTTCCAAGCCATAGAGACAGTGTTTGTCCGAAGACAGGTTCCGTGGTCCCATGGCCAGCGCAACTAGACACTGAATGCCATTCCCTTCCCACCGAGCTGGTACCTATTTATCTCCTTGCATTTACATGCTTTCGAACTGCTAGGTTAGCAGGAGCTGGGACAAGTGACGGGAGCTCACTCCGTCGCGTGGATTCGATCTTACAACTGCTGGTCTTCTGACCTTGCAGCACGGAGGCTTCTGCAGTTTAACCCACAGCACCACCACGTCCCTATCCGGCAATGGTAAAACCACTCCTTAAACATCTTGTATGCCTTGAGAACCTTATTATGTTGCTGTGAGCTGGATGTGATTTCATGGCACATAATAACAATAACAAGAAGAAAAAATGGGAACAAGATGTGTCATTAATTAATTAATTAATTAATTGGAAACAAGACATGCTGTTGTTGGATGCCTTGGCAAATAAAATCAGGAGATCAAAACCTGCCTTTGTGCACTGTATTTGCTTGTCTTTCTAATGCAGGTGTATCTGAGTTACAATAATGTTACAGCACTGAAGACATTAGTTGCTAAAGCTGACTGGGTGCCTGCATCTGAAAGAGACAAGGTAATTAGTGTCATCCTCAGACTATTGTATTTAACCAGGAATGCCCTGTTCAAGTATCTAGTGTCTCCATGTTTTTCCAGACCCTGATGTCCCCCTACAGATGTTACACTCAACAACGGGTGGGCACAGCATAGAGTCTTTTGAAGGTGGACAAATCTCCTCATAGAATCCAGAAGAGGCCTTTTTGCCTGCAAACCCTACTCTGGGTAGTGTGCTGTGTCTTACTGTGAACAATTGTGACACTGCTTGCATTTCGTCGTATGTGAATTGAATAGTGATCAAGATTATTTTAGCTACGTTTGCCTTCTTAACTTTAATGGCCTTTCTGTCTTAAGTTCAAGATGTACACACTGGAGGAGGACACGTTCCTCTCTATCCGAATAGAGATGACCACCTCTATTGATGCCATGCAAGCCTTTTTGCTGCTGTCAGATCTCCAACGCAGACATGAGTGGGACCGTCACTATGCGTAAGTACTTGGGAGAAGTCATGGCTTGCCACAGTTAGGAGGAATGTCCACCCTTTCCTCCCTTGCAGCATTAAGGGATCTTTCTCCCCAAGCAATTACTATGAAAACAGAAGCTGCAGTTCTCAAAAATGGGATTTTATGTCCAACAACATATGTACTGGCTTCTTAGTTCATAATACACCTGGCCAAATGATTGACCTGGAGCAGTGCTTCCAAATCTTGGGTCCACAGATATTTTTGGACAACATCTTCTAGAAATCTGGGCCAGCACAGCTAGTGGTGAAGGCCTCTGGGAGTTTTAGTCCAAGAACATCTGGGGACACAAAGTTGGGAATCATTGACCTAGATGGACCACATGGTACATGAGATCCTTGATCTAGTACTGTGTCTTTCACCATCCCCCAATTATTTGTTCACCCTGAGGATTATCCAGTGGATTGTTCTTTCCATTGTACTGTACGGCATATTCCACAGATTCCCTCCTAAGAACATAGAGAAGCTGTGTTGAATCAGAATAAATTCATTTCTAGCCCATCATCTTATTTTCTACAGGGACTGACCAGATGCTATTGAGAAGCCCAAATAAAGGTGAACTACATTTGTTCCCCTGCAGACCTGACTATTTACATGTCTGCTTGCCTCACATTTCTGAAGAGGTTCAATTTTTTTATTTCTGGTTCCTGGATTTTGTCTTACACACAAACAAATCCTTTTGCAGGAGTTGTGAACTTGTCCAACAAGTAGACAAAGATGACATGATCTATCATGTCATTAGCCAAACTATGAGCGAGGAAAACAAGCCTCAAGACTTTGTTGTCCTGGTGTCACGAAGGAAACCATGCAGCAAAGGGTATGTCAACAAGTACTGCCTCTCTATTCTGAATACAATAGTCTTGCCAAATTTCTGAAAGTAAGCGGGGTTGGGTCTGGTTAGTACCTGGGTGGAATACCTGCTTTCTTTGGGTAGAGTCAGAAAGGAGTTCTGTTTCAAAACTTGGAGAGCTGGTGCAAATTAAAATTGAGAATATTGAAAGAGATAGACCAGTAGTCTGACTCAGTATAAAGGCAGCTTTTCGGTTCCCATTTCTAGGGCATTGATTCACCCTGAATATTGTGTATACCTATCTATAAAAGTCACGTTGGCATTCAGTTCATTTTCCTCTTCAAAACCAGCTTTCAGTTCATTTTTTGCCTAATAGTGAATGTCAAGAAATAGATTGAAGTTCATGGCAATTATATCAAACAAGTAAATAGTTAGAACAAGGATGTGGTGGCGGCGGCTGTGGGCATGACAACTGTCAAAGCAGAAGGGGGAAGAATTTGCTTTCCTTGCACTAACCAAATGGCTTTCTTTTCCAGTGATCCATATGTTGTAGCTTTCAGATCAGTCACATTACCAACACATCCAGCAAAGCCAGAGTATACCCGAGGGGAGACTTTATGTTCTGGCTTCTGTATTTGGCAGGAAACAGATGAGCTCGCCAAAGTAAGAATTTGTCTCTCTAGCAGTGTGGAAGAGCAATGGGCAGCATTGGCACTATTTCAGCAATCCTTCAAATTGTGGTTTGGAGTCCTGGGGCTGTGTCACAAGCTTATGAATTTCCTCTTCCCTGTTTATGTTGGGATTCACCTCTCTCTTTCCAGGTTGCTTGAATCGTAACTCACAGTGACACTGAAACTATGACATGATTATTGCTAATCTCCAAACCAAATTCTAAGCCATGTTTGCACACAGTAGTTTTGAGGTTAGTGGAAGCTGCGTCTGCTCAATTTGGACAAACCTGGAAGAGGTGAAGGGAACTGGCATGTAAGGAATGAGGAAAATGTGAGCCCAACATTTTCTCAAGCCTCTAAATAGAGCCGTTTCACAGCGTATTTTGTGTGTTTTGTATTTGAATTACCTTACTTCGTCAACCAGCTTTTAGAAGCCAGTATTTCAGTTCAGCTTCCTGGCTTTATGGAGTGGCTTCCCTCCAATTTGTACTATAAATAGCTTTGGGAGTCTCCTTCTGTATTCTTCATTTACCTTGATATTGTGGTGGATCCATGTGTGCTAATTAATGCTTCTTGGGGCCCTTTGCAGCCTATAGCCTTCAAAAATGAAATACCATGGACATTTTTCTGGTCACTTTTATTCCTAGAATAAAATCCTGAATGTACTCATGCATATTGTCATGTGGAAAAAAAAGCATTAATGTCTGTTAATCCATAGTAGCCACAGTCTTTTCAGTTTCAACAGTGACTTTTATAGTCCTTGCAGTTATGGAAATCATGTGCCACTGGTAACATCACATTTGGGAAGCCAATTTTAAAAAGTAATTAATTGCTATTATAATTCTAGTGTTTCTCATATTTGAACTGGGTTTGGGAGTTCTTTCTAGGGTGCATGTTATATACAAAGGTAGTTTAAGATGTTCTGGTGCTTAAGCACCAGTGCTTAATCCACATGATGTTGAATCTCCAAGGTGGTAAAAATAAACTATTCAGTCATTTGTTGTATTTTAACTAAGTAGCACTGGTAAGTTAGCTGCCTTGCCTGCCTGTGAACAAATGAATATTATGAGCAAGTTAGAATTTAGAAAGAAATGAGTGCAGGGAGAAGATGTACAGTACAGTGGTAATGCAGCTGATACTGATTCTCTTAGTTCAACATCAGCAAGTTTGAGCCTTTCTCAGGCACTGAATCAAGCGTCTCCAACCTTGTATCCTCCAGATGTCCTGGACCACAACATCAAGTTAGGAAAAGCTGTGTGTCCACTGATCAGCTGTTTTTGTTCCCAGGTGGCCTATTATCATCAAGCCACTTCAGGTGTGTTGACGTACATCACAACTAACATTGCTGGCTTGTCCTCAAGTTTCCATTCCACCTTTCAAGCTTGTGAACAGTTTCTCCAGAAGAACAAAGATGATGCCTGCATTGAAGAATAAAGATGATATCACAGAGTCTCACGATGATCATGATTGTAAATCTTTCTCTGTGTATATAAGAAAGAAATTGGGGGTGGGAAAACAGACTTGTTCAAATGGATATGCTACCTCGTCCACACTTATGGAGAAAAGCCGTTTTGATTCGTTTATGATTGGAAGGAGAATTTCTATGCAGGAGAATTTAATGATCAAAACTTTCATGATTGTAGTGTGTGTGTGTGTGTGTGTGTGTGTGTTGTGTGTGTGTGTTTGTACATTCTTTCAAGAAGCAATATGTGAAAATTCTCCTTTAATCTTGCAAGTTGATAATCACCTCTGTGTTGGCTTCTATTGAAGTCTTGTGTTCATTTGATTGACAGGAGAACCTGATGTAAAGGAAAACGTGAAAGTACTGTATATACTTTTCTGGTCACTTTTGTTGTCCTTGTGCAGCACACTAAGTATTAGAAGAGGGGTAAACTTCTGCATTAAAAAAACCCTGTATCTTAAAAATTGTACAAAATAATTACTTTTTATATAGATATGGGTGGTAGTTGAACCTGTTTTTAAAGTACATTTTAACCAAGGGAATTAAGATTCACAAGAATTCAGAATGAACCTCTGTGGAAGAAATGCCCTTTGTTGGCAGAATCTACCGAACAATAATAGAATTGGTGAGGGATACTTCTGGGTTTTGAGTAAAAGCTTTTACTTCAAAATAATATTTTTACACTACACAAACGCAGGAAGGTGCTCAGTTGTATCACATGTAAGAATAAATTTTAAACATTATTTGTGAATGTTATCTTTTTTTAGTCTTCCTTGCATGTTGGAAGTTATCTGTTCTTTCCTGCTCAATCGGAGCCTGAGGGAGATCAGATTATTTTGCCACAGAGGAACTGTTCCTCCCATGTAAACATCATTCAAACTTGACCTTCTGGTATTATGGATGAAAATCTCTCTTTCTCTCTCTCTCTCTTGATGATTAGATGATCGTGTACCGAGTACCTGATCCCATGTTGCTCAGTGGGTCTTTTCTCTCCTGCTTTTGTACACAATTGTGTCAATTCAAGATATTAGTTCTCAGAGCTGTGGAGGTTTATTGAAATAAATGGCAATAAAAGCAAATTTAAGTAGAAAAAATATCATGAGAGTGTGTTTGTTGGGGAGAAGTGCACTCTGGGGAAAGTGACATACCTACTGTGTGTGTCTCAGTGTGTGTTTTCTCATCTGCTTTACCTTCTCCTGCTCTAGAGCAAGGTTGGAGCACCTCTGGCCCTCTAAATATTACAAATCTCAGTCACACTATTGTTTTATCCTCCCGCTGGCATGAAAGGGACTGGTGAGAACTTCAGGGCCACTGGCTTCCTGTTCCTCTTCTGAAGGGCTAAACAGGGAGCGTTCATTTTTCAGATGCTGCAGGACTGCAAATCCCATCATCCCTTCCTATTGGCCCTGCTACCAAGCTGTAGAGTTTGCCTATCCCCAGCTTCAAAGGCATCCACAGGTTCTGATAATTTACTATTTGTGTATGTTTTGATAGAAGGATAGACAGACAAACACCTGGAAAAAATGTACATATCACTCGGAGCAGCTAATAGCAATGACAATCAGTAGTGAAATACCATAACATCATGAAACATAGTAAGATTAAATAGGTAACAAAGATAGCCCTCCATGATTCTGAAGAATCAAATGCGCTTACATTCATATCACTTGGAGCAGCTAATGGCAACGACAATCAGTAGTGAAATACCATAACATCATGAAACATAGTAAGATTAAATAGGTAACAAAGATAGCCCTCCATGATTCTGAAGAATCAAATGCGTGCCTGACCAAGAAAAGGTTTTCTTCCCCCCCAGGGTTGTCTGGGGGCCCCCAAAAATGCAATGATGAGACTAGGACTGGGTAGAAGTCCATGTATGCTTTTGTTAAACATTGCAGGCCTCCCACCATCCAATTTAAGAGACCTTTGCTGCTCCTGGATGCAGTTCTTCTCTCCCCCACCCCACCCTGAAAAACTCATTTCTTTGGCAGGAGGGAGTTTTTTGGGGGGAGGGATAGAATTGAAGAGGGTGCCCTTTGCACACCCATAAGTCTGGAGCTGATGAGTGCCTGTGGTGATAAGCCCCCTTATCTTTACCCCAGCAACTATGTCCTTAGCACCCAGGCAGGACGTTATGGGATGTGGAAGTCTCTAAGGTAGTCTGGACCCCAGCTGTAATGTAGCTTTCACATTGGTAGAATAACAAAGGGGTTATCATCTCAGATACTCTGGTGAACAGACAGATCAAGCAACCCCTAGCAAACAGTGGTTATGCATGTGATGTTATTAGAAGTTTAAACACACACACCCCATTGTCATTGGGTTCATCTTCTGCCATGGGCGGCCCCAAAGACTGCGCGGGAAGGAGAGTCGGAAGCTGATCTACTTTAACATTGTCCAGTTTATTCTTAAACATATCCAATTCAACAGTCTCAAATGGGTCTAACAAGCTTAACTCAGGCAGAACTTTGTAACTTCGAACCTTTAATCTCTGACTTTAACATTGTCCAATTTATTCTTTAAACATATCCAGTTCAACAGTCTCAAATGGGTCTAACATGCTTAACTCCGGCAGAACTTTGTAACTTTGAACCTTTACCTCAGGTGTCCTCAGGTCGCTCCTTACGTGGGGGCTGGTCCAAATCGCTCCCGATCGGTCATGGGCCTCAATGGAGTGCTCCGCACCGCACAAATTGTCCCACAGCAGGGGTGTCTCGCCCAGTCCCCTTCGTGCGGTTGTTGGAGTAAAGAGGGACTGGGACGAATCACCCTCCTCCCCCCATGCTGATTGCGTGGATAGACAACCACGGTCCATTCCAGTGGCTCTAGGTCCTCCCTCCCCAAGTGGGAGCCTGGTGGGTCCGGCAGAAAGCCTCCGCCAGTCCGGAGGTTCGGGAATTCTTTCATCAAGCCTCCCAAATCCTCCTGTCCTAAACTTTTCTCAGTCTGTACTGCTTGGTCTCTCCTTTCTGGTTTTTCACCGCCCGTTAGAATTCTAAAACTTTGCGGGCCTTCCCTCTCTTTTATATCCTCCTCCCACATGATCAAGTCTAGCTCCTCCCCCTTTTCATCAGCCAAACAGACTTCCAATGACCCTTTCCACTCTTCCTGCTCTGTCTCCACTAACACTCCCTCTACACAGCCGTGGTTCTCCTCAGAGGTCTGTCTCGTGGAGGACGGCACACTGATGTTCTCTCCTTCACACCCATGTTTTAATCTTACAGGTGAAAATAGAACTTTTCAAATTTTTTATTACAGGAGCTTTTGTGGGTTTTTGGTACAATTTTGCAAAACATTTTTGCATAGAAGCATTTTGCACTAAAATACATTTTGCACAAAAACAATTGTTTTGTAGTCGTTGTCATCTTAAAACTGTTTTATGCGAAGCATGCTTGTTCTGCAAAATACTTTCCACCCGCTAATGTTACTAATGCCAAAACAAGACACTGAGCTTTCATTCCTATAAAAGAGTGAAAAATCTTCTATTTGTGAACCACTTTTTAAGCGGGCTGTCTCAATGTGTAGAAAAAAATAGTGAATATTCATTATGTCTTTGGGTGATTATAGGGCTTGGAGGCACTGATGGAACACAATGAAGAATAAGGTTAAAAGTGAATCCTGGCTTCACAGAGGCTGATGTCCATGGGCCTCTGCCAGCTAATTACAGTTTGCTTGTAATATGTCTTTGCTCTACAAAATATTGTGCTTCTGCATTTTCACTATGCCAATATGGAAACTGAAGTCAAGTTCAGAGTAGCTCAGACTTAATTCTTAAGAAATCTAGTTACTAATACTATAAAGCTATGGGTCTCCTGGTTTAGCAAAGGGTTGGACTTGATGACCCTTTGGATTCTTTCCAGCCATGAATTCTCATGATCCTGTGAATGGTCCAGAAGAAAGATAGCAAATAGGTGATCCATGGAGCTGGAATATTGGAATATATAGAAGCTGAGCATTACTTGTAGCAGTCAATGGATGGTGTCATGGAAGGCTTATAAAACACGTCAGTCGGGAAGCAAGATAAGAGCAGTGTTGTCTTCAAATAGTAATTTTAAACTCTTCTAACTACTTGGTGATTAAACTGTATAATGACATTATCCACAAAGGAAGTGTCAGTGCTTTGCATAGGATTTCCAGCACAAAATAACTGCAGATTTCTTGCTATTCTCTGTATTCTTCTCCCTAACTTGTTTGATTTTTCTTTTCTTGAAACATAATTTGATCAAACTCAAATATCTTTCAAAACACATATTACACAGATCTTTCTCTATGACTATAAAACCTGTATTTTTTTTAAAAAAAATCTAATCCATTAATTTTCTATTATTTGTTGCTATAGTTTATTTTTAAAGGAAAATAAAATAATAATTATAATAATAAACATTAATAATAAACATTTTAAAAAGCAGTTTTGTTCTGAGTGACCTTGCAGTGTCTGTCAATGTAAAACTTTCAATTATCTTTAGAAGCCTTAAAATACCAAAACATGACAAAAATAATGAAACCAATCTTTTAAAAGAGGTGGACAGCTTGTGGCCCTCCTAATATTACTGTAGTAGCCCACATATTTCACCAGTAGTTATACTGGTTAGGTCTAACATTGACATCTACTGTCCGAAGGTTGATAAACTGCCCAGGTGAAAATCCTGTTGGCTGGAGTTGGCCTATGGAACTGATTGCCACTGATTAGACTTCCTTTTGTGATTTTGGCGCTCCTTCCAGCCCTTCTTTTTCTTTCTTCCAGTACTGCAATTAATTTCAAATAACACACACACACACACACACACACACACACACACAAATATCAATGGCACAATCTGTCTTCTGGGTGAAGCTGCTCTTGACCACAGTAGTCACCTGAACGTCAGGACGACTTTACAACTCTCCTAGTGATGCGTCAGCCTTATTTTCTTAACACTAACTTCTAAAGCCTCCTAATGAGTTTGATTCTATTGCTGTTGTTCATTTTGTTGAGTTTTTTCTTTTAAACTCTTTTGGTAGCAGTCGTGGCCAAAGAAGATCTGGTCTGACTAATTCATGAATTTATGGCATGTCCAATGTGTGACCAACGTCAGTGCAGCTTTCACATTCCTCTATAAAGAATCCATTGTGGTCAAGTTGGTGAAAATATTTCTTGAAGAATTCACTGTAGAAATAGAGAAAGATTAGTTCTTTTTAAAACTGTGTGCTGTATCTCTTAACTGAAGCAGCAGTCCACAGACACTGTAGTGCCTCTGATTAAATCAGTGGAGATGTAACCCCTATGGACTGTCTAGGTCAGGGTGTAGAAATCCTAGGAAGGGGCTGTGATTCAGGATTTGAGTTAGAAAAAGCTGGAGAGCTGGAGAGGCAGGAGCTGCTGTTCCCTTGGAGGAGGATAAGGCCCTTGCATGACCTTGGTTTAGAGTTTTAGAGACTCTATATTGGGAGCCTGTATCTTTTGAGGTGTCATACCTCAGCCAATACATTTATCCGGGGCTTGGTTCTCATTTGGCTTCAAAGACACATTTGAACTCTTTATTTCTTCAAGCAACTCCTGTTCTGGTGTTGATGAAAAGAACTTGGGGTGTACAAATTGTAGCATATAGTTTGATTATATCACAATTTTTTTAAAAAAATATAGGAATATACAAGTATACTTTTTAAAAGTTTGTGCTTGCAATACATGTGTTTGTGTTCGTGTGTGTTTGTGTGTGTGTGTATCCACTGAAGCAAAGTGTTGCAGAGATATTTGCCATGTAGCACTTTTTGTTGAGATAAGAAAAAAGTAAAATTAAGGAGGGGCAAGTTGGAGACTGACACTTTATTTGAGACCACTTATCTCTCTGGTCCTTACGAAATCTTTTGAATTCAAATTCTAATCCCTCTTTCTGATATCAGTCAGGATCCCATAGGTTTTCGCACAGTGCTATAGTGATACAGTATGTTCCAACAGATTTGAGAGTCTCTGAATGAGAACACATTATGTAGTGCCTCCAGCTAGAACTTTGTATACCTAGACTAATGGAGACTGAAATGATTAAACACCAGGTAAAATTGAGTTGTATAACTTTGTGCCTGGCATAACTCAGATTGGTGCCATTATATTTAATATACTGTACACTAATTAAAAGCTTCCTATCCCATCATTTTTTTTTGTACTAAGATTCCCTTTGAGAGCCTCGGGATGGTGGTGGGCCTTTTAAAGTAAAACATCATGGCTGGATTGCCACCACCAGACTCAAGACCATCACCACCACTAACACAGCCATGACTTTTGATATTCAAAGGCTTCCATCCATTGTCCCAAGGCTCCTGAAGGCTTCCCCAAAACAGAAGGGAGCCTGAAGGAGTTTTGGAACCCAAAGCAGAGTGGCAGGAAGCTTTCAATTAGTGCAAATGAAACATTTCCAGCACCTGATCCAAGTTGTTCCAGGTGCAAAGTTAGGCAATAGGATTTTGCCTTTCATTTTCAAAATGTATGATCATACGAGCCACCTGATCCAAGTTGTTCCAGGTGCAAAGTTCATTTTCAAAATGTATGATCATACGAGCTTTCGAGAGGTAAACATTTACCAGCATTGCGTAATTTAATTTGGAATTTTGTTGTGCACCTCCCTTTTCAAAACAATCCAAAGTTTGATACCTGTTTTCCCGGCTCCTGCCATCACTATTTAAAGGTTTGCTCAGTTTCTAGTGTTCTTGTTGGCTTTTGTACATATGCTTTACTGCCAAGTGTACAACCCTAAGTAGAGACCAGACTGCAGTCTTGCAAATACAACCCATGCAAGCCCCCCAAATATTTTGTTTCCCGATCTGCTCATTTTAATCATTTATTTATCACTTCAAGAAACAGACGGCAGCACCATCTTTTGGGATGCGTTCCTATCTGGTGACCTGAACTGGAGTTACTATAAGGAAGTGAATGAGGACCTGTTCACAAGCCTCCTGTGCTGCTTGCTCAGAAGAGGCGAGAATGGGATTCTTGTCCTCCTTTCGTATCATATAATATGCCAACATTGTGTGCTCCCATTTTGCCATTTCTTTATCTCAGTGCACAGATACTCTCCATTTAAAAAAATAAAATACTCTGCAATTTAAAAACAAAAACAAAACTCCAATACTCACATGCCATGTCCTTGAATTGAGACAAAACAGGATCATAAAGGTCATAAAAGATTTGCTCAGGTTGGCTATTTTTTCGGATAAACAAGAGATCTTCTACTGTCACTGGATCAGCCTCTCCTTGCCACAAGGTCAAGCTATACCTAGGAAGAGAAGACATTTGGAGATTAGCCAGAGATTCTTGCAGGCTGTTGAGACCAGCATATTTAACGAGCAAATGCATCGTGAAGGTATATACATTACGGAGAAGATCTGCAACTAATTTCTTCGTGGTTTTGTTTTCTATGGCAGACATCCTTGGATGTCTTCCAGGGCTGACTGAGAAAATGTTGGGAAACGGAAAGAGTGCCCATGTCCTCTGCCTCATCCTTTTCTGTGTGCGAGCTGGAAACTCCTTTGCTGTGGCATTGTTGGGTTGTTGTTGCTTTAAACTGAAAACAGCTGTCTCCAAATGTTTAAAATGTTTTTTATGAGTGGAAGTCTGTAGATGCATTGTAATGTGACCAAGCTTTTTGAAAAGTCAAACATACTGCGTATGGTTTTCTAATTCTTAGTGTCTTTATGTACTCGGAATCAATAATTCTGAATTGTGCTCTCATCATTCTTCCTTCCTTCCAAACAAGCTAAAAAAGAGGGGGGTAAAGAGTATGTGCCGTTCATGTCATACCTTTTGGACCGACTCAAAAGCCAACTCAAATGAGGCCATGCTGGCCTTGCCATGACAGCTCTTACAGGGAAGGTGATTCGCTGAGGCAGATTTCCCACAAGGCCATGCATTTCCTCAACCATTGTCTGTGTGTAGGTGTTGTTGGGCAAGAAAGGCAAATACAGATTTGTCCAGCCTGAGGAGATGGTGCAATTTGGGAACTTCTCTTGGATAAGTGAGAGGAATCTAGGAAACAAACAAACAAAAAAGAAAAACAATGCCCCCACAGCCATTTAGCTACAACTGCATAAAGATCAAGAGAGACAGACCATTCCCTTGGGTGGAATCAACAGGATTCTTTGCCTGTCTTCAGAGACAATCTGCTTTAGCATCTGATGGAGATCCACTCTGGTCCCCTATAGGCTTCCCACCTGCTCTCCAATACAGCCTGTATCTCAAAGGCTTTTTCTTCTTATGTCTTCTTGTGTTTTCTGTGAACTGCTGTGTTGTGCCAGTACAATGTATGAGCCTAGTAGCCTACACATACACAGTTGGAAATTTGGGCTGTCTTTTGCAGGATGAAGAGAAGGAAATCCTGCTTGGCTGCCCTGTGATTAATAGCAGGTCTCCAGGCACAAGCCAGCTTGGCCATCTGACACAATCAAGTAGACACTTGGCATTTATCATGGATGGTGTGTTCTCAGTCACTGCAAAACTGGTTCAGTGAAACCCTGTGCTAGCGGAAGAATAGAGGAACAAGGATGATTTGGAGCCCTGTCACACAGAAAATACTGGCCATGTTTTAGTCTAACATGGATCTGCTCCAAGGAGAATTTATACTACATACACAGAAAATATACAGAAAGGTGGCAGCCTCTGTGGCTGATGGGTGGAAAGTTATCAGCTTTCCAAACTATATTGAGCAATTTCTCCATGTCTGGGTGATGTGTTTTGCTATGTATTTTAGTGCAATGATGCCAGTGAATGCACATTGCAATATATGTTACCCCTGGTACCACCTCCTGAGCCCATGCAGGGCTTATTTTGTATGTGGGAAATCTCTAAAGTTCATTAATAAAGGCTCTTCCAAATAAAGCTTTTGTTCTCCTTAAAGCACTGCATTTTGAACTGATTTTATCAGTATTTCCCCCATCATCCATATGATGTTCCCCTTATTGCGCTTCATAGAATTACTTTCCAGCCCTTTTTTGTTATTTCTGAAAGCCTGGTTTCTTTTAACCACTTTTTAAAAAACCTGGGACAGATTTTAATACTTCCCATTAGCCCTCGGGTCCACAGCATGATGGAAACTTTCAATCAGCACCCAAAAAGTACCATCAGAGATGTTTCAAGAAGGAAATAGATATCTTAATTATTTCTTCTGAGACATCTTTAAGAGAAGAGGATTGGATTTTTAAACAGATGTTTGGACACAAATCTCAGTAACCTTTGTGCTCTTTTAGCATCAACAGGCGGAAAAGGGCATGGGTGGAATAAATGTTCCATCTGGAAGAATCCTAATGTAGATTTCACACTAGGTTAAGCACTGTTTCAGGTATGTAGTGCATGACAGGACCTGTTAATGGTTTGTCTGTAGATACACAGCATCTTTTGACAAACCCTTTACTTTATTTGTGGCAGACAGATTGCTCATATTTCCTGCTCCTGTGCCTGGCCACAGCCGACTCTGTTCATCAGCCTTCAACAGCATGATGACTGCTCGGTATGGCCGATCTACCTGTCGGCCAGAGGAACTGCCCTTTGGCATTAACCTCATTGATCTATTGAAAATCTTTTTGGATCATTCATTCTAGTAACTGGTCAAAATCCGTTCTTCCATATAATTTTATTATAGAGAAGGACTCAGAGACGCCTCCTTATTTGATTACTAAACAAAACAATTAGTTCATTGACTTGGTCAAAGGCCACAATGATCATGTAAATCATTTTTCTAATATTTGTCATAATGTGTAGGGACAGAGGGTAGGGATCAAAACTCAGTGGCAGATTCAAAACTCAGTGGCAGATGTCCCAGGCTCAAGTCATGGTGTACCTACCAAAAGATGAGGAAAGGATCCTATCTGAAACCCTGGATACCAAGGCCTAAATCCTAGCGTGAGTCTCAAATAGAAGAGAGCCAGTGAATCATCGGGACTTACATGCACATTGTAAGGGTATTCAACAACTTGATGAAATGTTTCCAACCTCTTTGAGACTTTCAGATGGTTTGGGGTCCAATGGTTTGTGCCCATGTTAAGTCAGCTTCTTATGTTTCATCTTCTTAAGAAATAAGAAATACAAAGTGCAACTTGACATAAATATTTACTAAGTTGATTTTACTCACAGGCTTGCATTGACTGCGATGTTAAAAGGTATATTTGGACCATTTAGAATGTCTGCATTTAACCACACAGGCCTATCAATATTCAGCCGGGAGGAGATTTGTATTAAGATGTCTAGGGAGGGACCCACTGTCTTGATGTTTTTGAAATCCAGCTTGATAGCTGTTTGGAGAAAAAAAAATTAACATATGAATTCTGCAATTTTTTAATAAAAACAATACAAAACCCAAAGTGGTGGTAGCACCTATAAAATGAAAGGTTCATTTCATGTTCAGCTTCCATGGATTATAATCCACTTCCTCAAATACAAGGAATACAATATCTAGGCTACAGATATATATGCTCAAAGGGTACATGTTTTAAGGGTGGCAACCAAGTAAAATGGGATAGTCAGTGGGAATGGTCCACTGATTCGTTTATCCACAATTTAAAAATATTAAAAATATTAAAAGAAAAATTCTAGAAACATGCACTGTACTGTATATCTAAAAATGAAAGTACCAGAACTGGTCACTAGAGGGAGCCAGAGACCATGCTATATATGGTATTCCCTATTAAAAGTGCTCACTATAATCTGTATTTCCCAGCATCTGTGAGGTGGGCTTGGAATATGTATCCCATGGATACCTTTTTCCCACTGTAAAACATTGCAGTGAATTCTGGATACGCAAAGATGACTCAATAGTTAAACCAAACACCAGCTTGGCTGATTATGTGCATACGGCAAATGATAAAAACCTGAGGTTCTTCTGCATAGGACGGGTACTGCTGGCACCCCAGATTAAGTCCCAAAAGTGTAGACAATGAATATCCAATGAATGGTGTAAAACAGAGGGATGCTCTCAGTCTCCCAGCTCCTGCTGTCAATAATGCATCTTTTGGACAAAGTCAATTGGGGGGGGGACTGGGCTCAGAAGCTTGTAATTCCCTACTCCATTCACTTCCATGGGACTCTGTTCTTCCAGGCAACATACCTTTGTTGGAGGATCTAAGCACTGCCTCCAACCATTCCTGAAGAGTGTTGTCACTGTAGATGTCAGGGGGGTGGGCCATGATGGGCTTGTCAGTTTCATTGGGTGTGTTATATCCTTCAATTGTGACATCAGATTCCAGGGCCATGACATCACCTGTTTTCACACAGAACGTTCATTCAGAATTCGGAACCCCACATGGAGCTGGAATGATAGCCTTCTCCAATCTGGCATTACCCTCCACATGCGCCAGACTGCAAGTCTCACTATTCCCAGCCATGCTGGATGATGGGAACTGTTGTCTGGCACAGCTCAATTATAACAGATTGAGGGAAGCTGTTGTAGATCACAGCATGATACTGGCAGACTTTGCCCAGAATTACTGTATATTTCAGGGTTCAGACTGGAACACACTTTAAAGGGCCATTTCTAGATGCATTCAACTTTCAAAATGCTATATATTTTAAGGGTGTTTACTGTGTTGCTTTTAAATCTCTTTTTTAAAAATTAGAACAATCATGAACTATACAGAAGAAGCAGGCATTTTGGGGGAGGCAAAGGGAATATCTAATGGCACGTTCCCACTCAATAATTTATAAAAATAGGTAAGAGTCTAGAACTAGTAATGCAAGCCACAAGTACTGTATTGGTGTTTCTTAGGAATTCTCTGACAAGCATTTGAAACAGGGAAGGACAGAGGCGTAGTGCAAGGTCATCTCTCTCCCATAACAGTACCACAGTTGGCCTATTTCTGTTAGAAAGTGGTCTTAAACTGAACCCAGACTTAATAAACTGAACAGCAGAACTTGATAACAAACATCAGGGCTGAATCCATGTTCATGTTTGATACTAATAAATGGAATAAAATGTTTGGGAAGAATAAAATGTTGCATTGGGTGTCTTCAGGAGTCTATTCATCATTAGTTGCACAGTCACTAAACTACTCCACTGCATCTAAGGTCACTACTGAGATGTTTCAGACAAAAATTATGACTTCTAGGGAAATTGGAGTTGGGTATCTCCTTATTCTAGAAACAATTAACTGAAACAAAATGTCTCATTCCCCATGGCTTTTTAATGCTGTATTCTGTGCATTCACTCTTCCACTCTAGTTTGGGATAATAGAATTGGAGAGGTATACATCACCCAATCCAGACTCTCACCAGCTCAATCTTCCATGTAAAGGAAGTATAAATTCTAAATTCTCTGCACTATTCAGCTAGCTGTAGTGTGAAATAAATCATTTTATAGTGGATGGATTGTAATAGTAAGTCAGGACTAATTTAGTAGGAAAATTACTATTTGGCCAGGGGAAAAAAATCTGATGAAGCTCTTTAACAACGAACGCATTTAAATTGGTATAAGTCTTTGTGGACCAAAAGAGAGCCATGAGAACCTCAACATATGCCATAAGAGATACGTTAAGATAAATTCCTCTTTACAAGTGCAGACCCTAGTGGTTCTGTAGAGTGTTCAGCTCTTACTTGGGTGATCACTAGCTTGCAGTTGCACAAGCCCGAGATCATCCCATTGAAAGAACAGGGCCTCCCACTTGCACAAGGGGATGGGTGTCTGTGTTCCCCTTTGTGTATGCAACAGGAAAAACAACGAACGCATTTAAATTGGTATAAGTCTTTGTGGACCAAAATTTGTCAGCAGATAAGCCATGAGAACCTCAACATATGCCATAAGAGATACGTTAAGATAAATTCCTCTTTACAAGTGCAGACCCTAGTGGTTCTGTAGAGTGTTCAGCTCTTACTTGGGTGATCACTAGCTTGCAGTTGCACAAGCCCGAGATCATCCCATTGAAAGAACAGGGCCTCCCACTTGCACAAGGGGATGGGTGTCTGTGTTCCCCTTTGTGTATGCAACAGGAAACGAGGAACTGCATGTGTAGGATACAGACGATTTTCGGGATACTGTTTTAAATTACCACATGCCCTGTTGCTTCTGCTGTAACACACAGTCCAGCTAATCTCTCTGGTGTGTCTAGGTCACGTCTTCAACTGTACCATTTCTACTTTGATCCAGTGATGTCAGCTTTTTGAAGGCCTTATTATTCATGGCAATTTCTCCTTTGTTTGTCCAGCGGTTTATTTTTCAACAGTTCCCAACTTGGGATTCTCAGATGTGGCTGGACTTTAACTCCCATTGTCCAGCTAGCTGGCTTATGGTCAGGGATCATGAAAAGTTAACTCTAATAACATGTGAGAGCCCAAGGCTTGGCAACACTTTATATGAATTGTTGTCAGAAAGAAAGAAAGAAAGAAAGAAAGAAAGAAAGAAAGAAAGAAAGAAAGAAAGAAAGAAAGAAAGAAAGATCTTGTTTGCAGAACAAAAGATGGCTCTGCTAGAAAAATAACCCAAATGTTCACATTTTACTAAAACCAGTACAATTTGATTTTCAGTTCCCTGGACTATAGTTTTCCTACATCTGCAATTTCCTGCTTGCAGCAGGACGCAAGACAGTAACCCTCCTGGTTAGTAATGTCTCAGTGGAAATCTCCCTGTTCTTCTTCAGCCGGAGGGGTTCCAAGTGCCCTCCAGTGAAAGGTCTGATTTCTCTGATAAAGTGCCTGATGTAAGATGTGCCCAGGAAGGCCGCCTGAAGCTGATATGTAAGTGGAAGAGTTCTACATCAGCCTTGAGCTTTCTGTCCATTCCTCTCGTTTCATTATCAGAAGGCGATAAGCCCCTTCAGACAGAATACTGTATGAAATGTGGTGCTCCATGTTGACAGAGCTAACTTATCTCGAGCAACAAGAATCAATCACTCATTTCTTATCACTGCAGTGTGAGCCATCCTTTTTCCTTATCGTTACAGATTTCGGTGCCTTGATTAACTGTAGGGAATGATGTAGTTAATATGTTAAAGTTTAGCAGAACTTCACAATCATGGTAGCTCATCCACTTTTTGATTTATGAGAGGAAACATGTATTTAACATCTTTATTTGAAATCTGGAATTAGCTTTTTATAGTTGTTTCTGTGTATTAAGTGACTTGCTCCTCAAATGGAAAACTGTTAAATAAACTGCAGATGTTTTCCTGTCAATTAAGACTTATTAATGAGTTCTTATCCCCCTCAGTAGGTCTACAGGTGCTTCCAGATAAGGCTTTGATAATTAAATTATTTCGTTTCATTCACATTATTTTACAGGGGGGAGGGGAATCAGACATCATATTTCAATTGTCATCCTCACATTCCCCCTAGCAATTTTCCCATCTCTCTCTCTCTCTCTCTCAAATGATTAAGGATAGTATTAGCAGGTTAGTCGTACCTTATTGCTTGTGATTTCTAAACTAGGGACCAAGGGACAGGCCCTGTGAAATTACAGGAGGCAACTCTTTGAGTAAGCATTGCAAGATGATGTGTGCACACACGTGGCAGTCGATTTCCTCCTCTAGCTCATGAGCAAAACACATTAGAAACCTATATGGGATGAGCCTAGTGCTCGTTGACTACGAGGAGATGATTGTTCAATCTGAAAAACCACCACAGCCAGACTGAGAGAGACAGAGAAGCAGACACAGAGAGATTCTTCTCTCCCAGTATTGCTCACTCTGAAATTTGTCTCTCTCTGCCTGGAGACCTGGGTGAGCACAATTCCCCAAGATTTCAGCTGGTGGCCCCAAGACTGGCCAACTCAATGAACTTCTGTCATCTTTCATTCAGTTTGCTTTGTGTGAACAGTAAACTTTAAAGTCTAATTACTTAGGCACCTGTTTCTCAGGGGATTCAATGTCTTGGAATGGAAATCAGTCAGTTGGGTGAAACATGCATCGTGACCCCAGAACTACAGCAGGGAAGTAACTTGCTTTTAAAATGAATTACTTTTGGAATGAGTTCCACTCTCCAGCAACAAGCTGGAATGAAGCTACTCTTCTGTGAGTAATAGCCATGGCTGTAATTTATGACTCTTCAGTGGAACAAGAACCTAGGCTGCTTGCTAACAGGTAGTGAGAGAGTAGCCTGAGCATTGCCCGAAGAGGAATGAGGGTCATATTTTGCACTGCTACATCCCTCTGCCTTTCTTATGGAGGAAGCATTGTATGGCAATGGGAGTTAAGAAGGAAAAGAAGTCGTGATGTGGAAGAGGTGGGAAAGAAGTGTCAATGCACATACTGGACTATGTGTTCCTTCCACCCCACATGTGCAACAGAAACGCCTGTTTCGTCCTCCTGCTCTGCCAGCAACATGTCCTAAGACCCTCTTGGGCAAGTGCCCAAGAGAACACGTGTATGAGGGAGCACAGGAGAGAACAATAGGGCTGGATAGAATGGGATGGACAGAGTGTGTGAGAGAGAATGTTCGTGTGTGAGAGAAAAAGAATGCATGAGAGAGGAAGACGAAGACAGAGAGCACACGAGAAAGTGAGAGCACGTGTATGAGGGAGCACAGGAGAGAACAAGAAGGAACACAAAAGACACTGGGTGTGTAAGAGAGAGAGAGAGGTTAAGATCTTTGGCTAATGCATACTGCATTATCAGTCTCTATGACTGGCAAACATTAGCTTAGTAGAACATTAGGAAGATCAGTAACCTTGGTTGTCCGAAGTATCTGGTGTTCAGAGATATAATGCCTTTAATTCTGAAGGCTTCATCTAGCAACCCCTCTTGTATTTCTTCTAGCTAACATGATCCCCCCTCCTGACATGGTTGTAATTTTTAATTCCGGATGCTTGTTCTGTTGGAGCTGTTCAGGAATATGCTGGGTGGGTTGTGTTCTGTGGCAGACATTGTGTTGTGATATTTCAGTTTGTTCTCTAAATTAATCCTCACAAGAAATGGCTGTCTACCGAATTCCAGCCAATCTGGCACTTTCTTGACATGCTGGACTGCGAATGCCATGACATCTCCAAATGTGTGTGGGACTGCATTTCAAGGCCTCTGGGAAGAAAATGCCAAGGGAAACTTTTCTTTGTAATATGTATGCCATCATATTTTCAATGTACAGTAAACAGAAATCAGACACTTGAGAGAACTGTCAGGCATTTTCATATAGTTTCCGATTAATGGCTGCAACAAGCAACATGTTAGCAACGGTTGCAAAAAAGGAGTAACAGTAACAGTATCAATCTGCTATGTATTCAGAGTAGTGAGTAGCAGAAATCAATCCTCTTTAAAAAGTAACATCCTGCGATTTACTGTTGGACTTCAGCCAGCAAGAGCAAAGCTCCACGACGTTTGCCCCAGCACTGAAGATGGGTGTTGGGGCTTCCAGACCGACATGAAAACAATACAGTTGTAACTAAAAATGTCTAGGCATGGAGTTTCGTTGTTCTATTGGTCAAGCCTGGGTCATGTGAGAGAAAGGACAAATGGGGAGGAACATCTTGGGCGAAGCATATGACAGCTGTGTTTGTTTGGCTTTGAGCTGACTTGTTTCATGTTCCCAGGAGCAGCTGGAGATCCTATGTGTCTGAGGCAGGCAGGTTCGTGCTCTTCTGGCAAGACATTTTTGTTCCTTCTCAATTCTGGCACCCTGGTTCAAAGTTTCAGTTGTCCTGTCCTAACTATGGCTGGGAAAACGAGGCAGTCTGACAAGGAAAATGTCGTCCAAAGAATCTTCCACCAGCATAGCCAGCCAGCGTTGCTTGATTGGCTTGCATGGCTGTACTATTCCCAGCAGCCATTTTGGTTGCATCATCAGCTGTAGATACCCAAGGTGGCTGAAGAAAGCACCTATCACCTTCTCCTCTTGTGTTCCACAGAGACACAAAGAGGCCCTTCCAGTAAATCAGAGGATCTGGGCTAGTACAATAATAAATTATGCAAAAGAAAATGTAGTTGTTCAGAAGTCTAGCTTTTTTTGCGGGGGGTCACAATAGGCATGTGTATGTGTGTTTATAATATTGATTTTTTTCCCAAAAATTAGCATTGATGCTTTGAAAGTTACATGCATCCTGAAGTCTCTCTCTCTATATATATATATAGAGAGAGAGAGCTCACGACGCATGTAACTTTCAAAGCATCAACACCAATTTTCTTTCTTATTCTGATATTTTTAGCCACATATGACACAAGTGAAAAGAAACAGAACACAACTTACTTTTCAAAGCTGCTTCCATTTCACTCTTCTTATTTGCAGCATGGTGCCAGGTGACCAATAAGCCATCTTTTCTGTCTATTCTTCTCAGATTCATCAGATAATCCAGCATATCTCCACCTGTATAAAAGGCTGGCCGGGGTGCTGCTTCTAATAGATCAAGATGCAAAGACGAAATTGTGCAGAAATAAATATAGACTATTCATGGTAAAAGTTAAATGAAAACAGTAATTAAACAAAATTAAAAGAAGAAAAATATTACAATTTCCTGTGGCATCTATAGTATTTGGGTCATGTTCCTGCATATATTCCAACAGTGTTGCAGGAGCTTAATATATTCCACTCATTTCAATACGGAGAGTATCCACATTTCCTCTTAAAATAAGACATTTTGTGTTGGAAATAAAGATACCTTTATCAATAGGTATTCCCAACCTGCACTGAGCAAGGGTCACAGAAAAATATGCTGGGGTCTTTAGGTTATTCAAATGCAAGAGATCCAATAACATGACCCAGACTGTGACTCATCTGAGGTCCTGAACCAGGTGAGGGCAGTTTTCATAGGAATGCCCTCTCACCCCCACAAATCTTATGGGAGCTGCCCATGCCACCAAAATTAAACAAACAAAAGAGCAAACCCAGAAGTGGCTGGAAATCCAGTTCTAGTTTTGAAAAACTGTTTTGCTTTTGCTGTTAAATGGAATGCAGAAGAATATGACCTGTTGAAAAGACGAACTGCAACTACCAGATGCTTCCATGAGCAGCAATATGCACTTTTTTCTCCCTGAGGAAGTCATTCTTTAAGTGGTGGAATCTGGAGGGGTAACAGTTGCAGACCTGGCCTTAGGGTGCCACATATGGCCCTCAAGGCCATGCTTGGCTGATCTCTGTTCTAAACTGTAGCTTGCTTAACCTGTGCATAAATCCAGAGTTCGTAAGAGCTTTGCTAACATTTAAGCATATGCAGCTCAAGTGGATTTGTATTCAATTCTTAGCTCATTAGCTAATTTGTGCAGAGAAGGGAATGTTCCCAGAATTCCACAAACAGCATGGCTGTATCATCGCCTCAACAAAATTATGTCCAGCAAAATATATGTTTGGGTAGCCAGCCAAAAAAGAAGAGAGAGTTCCTGACCTGTGTACCTTTAATAGTAGCTAGGTGAAAAAGGCAGGCAGGCATAGAGATGGATGGATGGATGGATGGATGGATGGATTGATGGATGGATGGATGGATGGATGGATTGATGGATGGATGGATAGATAGATAGATAGATAGATAGATAGATAGATAGATAGATAGATAGATAGATAGATAGATATTTGTCTGTCCATTTGAATCAATGGAATTCATGGAGGAGTTGATTCATGAAATCCCCACAGATTCAATGGGCCTACAGTATTCTAGTGCAATTTACTATAGAAAGCAACAGGACTTCAGCCATTGAAATGTCACAGTTGGTCTTTAAGGTGCTACAAGGTTTTTGATTTTTTTTGTTTAAGTTGTAGAAACTTACAGTTTGCATAACTTTTATTATGCTTGTTTCAAAAAGGCTGGTGAACTGAGCATAAGCAGTGAATTTCACTATCTTTCTGCCATATAGGTGCTTTCTGGACTGATCAAATTACTCACTTCATGGAATCAGTAATCTGCCTGTGACACCAACTTCACAAATCCTGTAATATGTAAGTAGGAAAAAGCATTTATTTTTGTTTTTTATTCCATAACTCTGCTTGAGGATTTATTTGAAACAGGAGAGCTATAAAAAGTTGTCTTAAAGTTCACTATCTTTCTGCCATATAGGTGCTTTCTGGACTGATCAAATTACTCACTTCATGGAATCAGTAATCTGCCTGTGACACCAACTTCACAAATCCTGTAATATGTAAGTAGGAAAAAGCATTTATTTTTGTTTTTTATTCCATAACTCTGCTTGAGGATTTATTTGAAACAGGAGAGCTATAAAAAGTTGTCTTAAAGTAAAGTCATTAGTTGTTTTCGAACATAAAATTATCTGAGCAAAATATAAGATAAAATCAAAACAAATTACAATAATTAATAATAGTATTCAGAGCATACCCACAGAGCATGTGTGTGTATTGTGTCATGTGCTATCAAACTGGAAGCAAAGTTTAGTGATCCTAACAGGACTTTCAAGGTAAATTAGATATCTAAGGGGTGATTTTACCAGTTCCACACACCCTAGAGAGTTTACAGGTCTGAGTGAGGATTCAGACCCAGATCCCATGAGTTCTAATCCATCACTCTATACACTACGGCATAAGAGGATCAAAATAAAATATTCTGTAGGCATCCTTCAGTCTCGAAAGACTATGGTAGCGTGCTCTGTATGGAGGACGTGGAACAGCGTCTAGTGTGGCTGAGGAGGCCAATTCGAGAGTTACAATCTCTTCCACACTGAAGACAAATCCAATCTGTCCCCTGTCCAGCTCCCTGGTTTTGCTTCCTTTGTGACTTCCTCTTTGCCTCGGCCTGCTGGACAAGGGTCTCTTCAAATTGGGAGCGGCCGTGATGTACCGCCTGCCTCCAGGCTGAACGATCAGATGTCAGAGTTTCCCATCTGTTGAGGTCTATTCCTAAGGCCTTCAGATCCCGCTTGCAGATATCCTTGTATCGCAGCTGTGGTCTTCCTCTGGGGCGATTTCCCTGCACTAATTCTCCATATAGGAGATCCTTTGGAATCCGACCATCAGCCATTCTCACAACGTGCCCAAGCCAGCGCAGACGTTGCTGTTTCAGTAATGTATGCATGCTGAAAATTCCAGCTCATTGTAGGACTACTCTGTTTGGAACTCTGTCCTGCCAGGTGATACCAAAAATCCGTCGGAGGCAATGGTGGTTCTCCCTTAATGGGAGAACCAGCAGTAAAAATCAATAAATCACAAAATAAGAACAACTCACTATGGGTGCGACAATACAGTGGGAAAAATGAATGGATCAGCTGTGAAGTTGCACCTGTGAGGTTGCATTTCTCCAAGTAAATTTACTTTAACTGTCCTCACAGTTCTTCTATGGCCACCCTCCTCTCTTTCTCCTGAATCCTTGTTCTTTGTTTTCCTAAGTGCTCAGGCACGAGAAGAGCAAGAGAAGAGAAGAGAAGGGGAAAGAAAGCAGCTCCAGGCACCAAGGATTCAAATGGCTGCCAGTTTCTCTGGCGTTCTACCTCTTTCACTGTTGCTGTAGCCAGGCAGAATGGCTTCAGACTGACTACAAATCTTCCACTTTGGCTCAAGTGATCACATCACCCGAACTGTTGCAAACTCATTCACTACAAAAAGATAGAAACCCCAGTGGTGGAGAGAGAGGGGAAAAAAGGATTGCAGGGGGAAACTCCAGACTGATTCGTATTGACTTGTACCTTATGTGGTCAATAGAAAATAATATGGATCTGATTGTCTCAATTCTGGAAGCATTTCCCACGTAATTTATTAATGTAGTTTCATGCTATGTAGCAGAGCGCAGTAGCAGCAGGTTACAAGTAACAGGGTTATCTGCAAAAAATTACTTTTTTAAAAAGTAAGGGTAAGTCAGATGTAACTATTGCAACTAGTTTAGGCATCCTTCAGTCTCGAGGGACTATAGTAACATGCTCTGTATGAAGGACTTGGAACAGCGTCTAGTATGGCTGAGAAGGCCAATTCGAGAGAGACAATCCCTTCCACACTAAAGACAAATCCAATCTGTCCACTGTCCAGCTCCCTGATTTTGCTGGTTTCGGGACTGCCTCTTGGCCTCGGCCTGCTGGACAAGTGTCTATTGCAACTAAGCTTTCCCAAAAAAGGGAAAGGGGGTATAATGAATAGTTTCCTTGCCTCTTTTAAAATTTGTTTCAGAATTTTCAGACTATAGAGCAAAATTTTTTCCAATTTCTGCCATTCTTTTATCAATCCTAATGCTATTTTCCCTAAAATAACAAATGACAAAGTTAAAGATAAAAGTGGTTTTCAAAAGAGACTGGAAACAGAGTGAACGGTCATCCTAAGTTCTGCCAGTTTTTTTTAAAAAAGCTACAAACTAGAAATTTGTACTTGTTGGGACCAGGAAGAGACCAATAGTGATAAAGCCAATCTTTGGCAAACTTCATGATGGGTAAAGATCTAACCATGCATTTGCTTGCATTGCTTCATTTCACATAACTGGCTCTGTGTCGTGGATGGTGCCAACAGAAAGGGTCCACTCCTATCACTGGAACAGAGTGAACCAATATATGGAACATTAATTCCTATCCTGCTGTGATAACACTCGTTGCAAACCCACCCACAGGTCCTGACTCCAACTAGCCCTATTCTGCTTGGTTTAATACCTTGGTGTGAGGACCTCCTCTTGACCACCAGAGAGATGGCGAGAGCTACACAAATGGAAATCACTGCCACGGTACAGATCACAGCAACGACCACTGCTTTTCTTCCAGGGGAGGGAAGACGCTTCATGTTGCAGACTATTCTGGTCTTTAAGTGCACCAGCAACTTTGGCAAATAGGTCTATAAAGCTGCAACCTCCTTTCAAAAACCAGAAGGAGAGAATAAATGGTGACGAAAAGAGAATTCTGAAGCTTCAGCCGGAGAGGTTGGCAACCAAGACCAGGATTCAGAACAAAGCCATCTTAATCTAGTGTAAGTGATCTCTCTTGCAGGAGTCTCCTTTTAAAAGCCCTGTGCAGCTTTGAAGGTGTTTCCTTCCAATAATCTGCTGCCGTCTTGTAGAGGATTTCCTTAATACTTTGCTGAACTTTCACTTTAATCATTGAGTAGCGCTTTGGACAAGTCTCTTGTAATACCGTGCCATCTTGAAGGTGTTTCCTTCCCAAAATATTTCATTGTCTTCTAAAACAAGCCAGTCCTTCGTTGTAGTATACTTCTCTTTTCCTTCTTTTTTTTCCAGTAAATTTTATAGCCTTATTTTCTTCCGATGACCTAAGGTTGCCTTAAGAAGAATTGTTTTTAACAGTCCCTTTATTTCCTGCAGCATTTATTTCCTTCATCTGTCATGCTGGATTGGCTATCCAATAGTCCAGAACGGTCACAGACAGCTTTCCAGTGTGAACAGAAAGCCGCTTCTGAGCTCTCTTAAATCCGGAATAACATGGTTTTGGATTCTTGTGTTGGAATTTGTCCCTCTTTCTTTTTACTGGTCCTGTAAGCATGACAGTATTTGAGGCTAAAGTCCATCTTCTCCACATCCTTGAGGAGAACAAAGCACAGCTTAGAACAGTTTACTTTTTAGGATTACAACTCCCAGATTTATATGTGGGGGAAAAGTTACTATTTTGCAGGCCCATGGGGGATTCTGGGAATTATTATTCAAACTGGAAACACTGGGGGAAAGTTACTATGTGTAATGTATCCTTGAAGGCTTTCACAGCCAGGATCCAATGGTTGTTGTAGGTTTTTCGGGCTGTTTGGCCGTGTACTGAAGGCTTTCTAACATTTTGCCAGTCTTTGTGACCGGCATCTTCAGAGGACAGGAGTCAGAACTCTGTCTGTGCTCTGGTGCACTTTTATGGGATAGTTGAGTATTTATAGCTGTTGGATCAGCTTTTGTCCTTTTCAGGAGATTGGGTGATTATGGTGATCAGCGTGTTTTTTGTTGTGGGTGTATTGTTGTGATTAGGGGGAGAGATTATCTGTCCCTGGTCTTTTGTGTGCAGTGATCACTGGTCCTTGTGGCTGGGTAGAATTTGTTGACCTTTTGCAGGCTATATTTTTCAATGCTGGGAGCCAGGCTTTGTTGAGTTTTAGGCCATCTTCTTTTTTGTTACTGTACTATGTGTAGTAGCACTATGCAAAAGTTACTATACTGTATATGGTACTATATCTGACACTTTAGACATAGTACTGTATGTATGTGTGTATGTGGGTTTTCACCTAGAATTTATTGCATTGGTGCCATGTGTAGGAAGAGAGCTACAGTATTTTGAGATGACTCACAAATGGGCCCTCTCTTTTCCAGAACTGCATAGATAAATATTGGTTCACATCAGACACCAGAAGAAAAATTCCTGTCAGTTTTAAATTAGCAAGTTTGAAATAATACTGACATTATCACTTCTAAGCCGTCCTGACCCAACTAGATTAAGAGAAGATATTCATCTGAAAAGCTTCTGTTAAAATTACAGCATTAGCCCTATACACGCTGGGGTTCAGGATCTCATAGCAATTGAACTCATTCCACTGTACATACAGGAGACCTGAGACATACCTCTGTAAATCCTCCTAAAGCCCTTAAGTACTGTGCTTACTTTGCATATCCCAAGACAGGGCAGGGCTTACAGTATATATGCTGGGCCAAATCCTCAGGGTGCTTTCATCCTTGCCTAGTAAAACCATGGCAACCAGGTTCAAGATGATCCCAACTGTAGTCATATAAGATAGCCACAAAGGAAGTGATTTACAGCCAGTTGCCTAGAGAAAGCATTTCCTTTTTATAAGCCCTCTCTGCCGCCAACTGCTGTTGATCCACTTGTTTCCATGTGAACCAGAGGCGATGGAATGCTGAGTTTTGTTGCTCCTGGCTGACCTGGGGGAAAGAGGGGGGGTGGGAAGCCCCTGAGCCCTAATTGACTCTGGAGTGTGAAAGGTTTTCCTAGCTCTACCTAGGCCTCCAAAAGATATCCATAACATGCAGGCCAATTTACTCAACTAAGCAAGAGAAAGTTCGGTGAGGGGTAAACTGAGTGGCTAAGAGGCCCTCTAGGCATCCCACAATCAGATAGGGAAGGTGTACCTCTCCAGATACTGTAATGTCAAATTGCAGTCTCCATCTGCCCAGTCAGAGTAGCCTATAGTGTGGACTGGTGGGAGGTGTAACTCAACAACAAATGGAGAGCCATGCATTCCTTTTTCATTGGCTGAAAAACTGCCCTGGCTAGGGAGGGTCTCTCTTCAAGGTACAAGAAGGCACCATAGGATCCAGCATGTGGCCCTACATTCCACCACTCCAGGGATTTAATCTGTATTTCAAAACATTAAGCCCAGATTCCAGGGGGTAGTTGTGTTACTCAACTGCAGAAAAATATGAAGTCCTTTGTGTCCTGAAGATGGCCATGTTTCTAGTGGCATAACCTTTAGTGCACCAGACATTACTTTATTGGATGCATGAATGGCCAAAGTGGGAAAATATACGTAACCCAAGATTAGATGACAATCAGTCAATGACTCAGTCAACTAACCAACCAATCAAATAAGAGGTCAGGAGGTACTAACAGGTCATAATAGGTCAAAGTTCTATGCAAAGCAATAAATTGAGACTCTTCTCCCTAATAACTAAAATAGCAAACTAACATGTCAGTAATAAAGTAGCCATTTCCTGTATTTGCTGAGAAAATTTGTAAGAGTCATTGCAGAATTTCAGTCTATCAGTTTCATGGTGTTGTAATGTGGTGATTTTAAGGCAGAGGCAGGGAACCCATGATCTCTCACATGTTGTTGGCTTACAAAATCCATCTGCTATAGCAGTCACGGGATGAAGGGACCCAAGACCACATAAGCTAAGTCTTCTCTTACAAGGCACAGTAGGGAAACTCCCAATACTGGTTCCACCGCCAGGAACTCTTACATGGTGGGAGTCAGGGGAGAGAGACAGTAGACCAACAATATTCAAAGAGTCTTGCATCTTACAGTGCTTGTCATTTTCCCAACATCCTGTGGTAACAGCCAAGGCCTGTGTGTGTCTGTTGACCATTTGGCAAAGGGGTGTGGTGTTAAATTAGTTGCACTTAACATGGCAGGCTTGGAAGAAGGTGGCTCTTCTAACAATGCCGGTTTCCTTAATGGGAGAACCAGTTGTAACTTAGGCAATGGTAGTGTCTAATAGTCAGACAGCATTGAACATGGGACCAAAATGTACTATTTTTTACAGATCCAGTAATTAAGCTTTGCTAACTGGTCTTTTCTATTTTTCTATTTTTTCTAATATTGATGTCTTTACAATGATTGTTCAGTCAACAAACACATACAAACATATGCCCAACAATAGTGAGGCAAAGACGGCCCAGCTTATGGATTGGGAGAGGGGGCTCACCTCCAAATTTTGGAGATACCCCCTCATCCACAGGGGCAAAAGCCAGCAACAGATGTATGTAAAGGACAGCACATCTTTTCCAACACTGTCACACCAAAGTATTGCGTTAATTTACACCATAAACATATCTGCATGTGGTACAGAAACTGAACTGCACACCAACTGAATTAAAATAAAGTCTGAACCAGGACTCATGGCCTACAGAGGTGCTTGCTGAGGAGGTTAATTTTAATTAATTTCCAAGGCTTCCATCTGTGAGAAACCCTCACCCTCTTCTCAAACGTTCCCTTCTACTGCCACCTTCTGGCTATCATGCTGAGATAAGTTGTCTGAGAGGCTGTTCTGAGGATGGTAGTCTTTGTAGGAAAATGTGTTGTGCTGCCTTGAAATATAAGGTTTGCACAGTGGATTTCTTAATCTTTGTAGTACTTCCTCCAATTACTGGAAATGAATCATGGCAGGGTGTTATGGTTCAGGGGTAACGTTTATAGGTATTGAATGGATAAAATCCCAGGTTTAATACCTAGCAGGTCTTAAGGCTGGCCTTGGAAAACCCTTGTCTGAATTCAAGAGAACTGCTGTTAGCCTGATGGAATTCTTTGTATAATGCTTTTTTTTAACATACTTTGCAAATATTATACTCTGGTTTCTCTTCAGATTGTATAAGTTTTTCATATAAATATTTGCGAAGTCCTAAATTTTGGAAATTTATGCAGGATTCCTCACTGTCTTGGGTTTCTTTGAAGGGGGTGAAATTTTCATTTAATGAAGATGGATTTGGCTTTCTGGAACTTAATCCTATCCCAGGGATATCTCTGCTTAGTGGAATTCTCCATCTTGGGTTGTTTTGGACTCTTTCTGTTTTGGACCCCTTATTAAAATGGGTGACAATGGAGTCCATTCACCTCAGTACAGATCTTTCTCTCCACACAGTTTATGCACAATTTCTAGTCATAGTCACACATCAGAAGTCAGAAAAGACATGGCCTGGATCAACTTCCTTACAAGGAAGAATATAATGTACAATAAAAGCGTAAAAGTGGCATTGTACAGTTCTATATAATATTACTTCAACCACATAATGGGAAATGAAAAGAACAGATTCTTACAGGTAAAATAATCATTTAAGGTAAAATAAATGGGAAAAGAATTGGAATAACGTACTGGTCGAAGACTCTGAGAGACTGGTTTGAACACAACAGACCCTTGCTTACTGCTGCAACATCCAAAGCTGGAGTAGCTAAGAGGAGGGCCAACCTCTGGAAGGATAGAAACAACAACAAAACATTTCTTTTAAAAAGAATAATTTTATTTTATTTGCACTTAGAGAATTTGGAGTATGATCACAACAATTTCAGTGTGTTGCAGTTTCACATGCTAGGTTAACAGCCTTTTTAACAGAAGATACAGACTGATATGGCAATTTGTAATTAG